AAGAAGAAGAAGAAGGAAAGGAGAAGGAAATTAAAATGAAGAAGAAGAAGAAGAAGGAAATTAAAATGAAGAAGAAGAAGAAGAAGGAAAGGAGAAGGAAATTAAAATGAAGACGAAGGAGAAGAAGAAGAAGTAGTTAAAATGAAAAGAAAAGTATAATAAAAATATAAAAAATTAAAATGAAAAGACAATGGGAGGGAAGCGTGTTGATATTTAGAGTAGCTTAGCTTTTGTCTGTGAGAGAGAGAGAGAGAGAGAGAGAGAGAGTTGTTTACCCACTAACCTAAGCTCTTGTCTCTGCTAAGCTTTATGGTCGCTCCTCCTCCTCCTCCTCCTCCTCCTCCTCCTCCTCCTCCTTTCGGTTTCTCTCCCTCTTCCCTCTCCTACATTTCCTCTCCTCTCTTCCTTTCAACTTCCCTCTCTCCTTCCTTCCTCCCCTTCTTCCAGCTCCTCTTCCTTTCCTCTCAAATTCTCGTCTCTCTTTTTCATCCTTCTCTCCCTCCCTTCCTCCTTTCCTCCTACGCTCATTCCCTCCCTTCCTTCTACCCTCTCTCCTCCCCTCCACCCCCTCTCATCACCGTTTACCCTTATTCTTCCTTTTTCTCTTCATTTCCTCTCTTTTATCTTTTTTATCTCTTATTCTGGAGATTTTTGTAATATTTCATTGTTCTTCTTCATTTAGTTTCATTTTTATCACTTTTATTTTCTTGTTCTTGTCTTTCGTTTTTCTTGTCTGTTTTGTCTTTATTCTTTTTCTCCTTGTCTATCATATTTCGTTTAGTCTTCTTTCTTTCTTTCTTTCTTTTTCACTCTCTATAGATGAAACGAAAAAGGAAACAGAAGTAGGGAAGTCGGAGGGAGAGAGAAAGGAGGGGTGAGGGAGTGAGGGAGAATGAGGTGACAGGTCTTCATCAATCGATTTCCACTAGTGTGTTGTGGCTGATGGTAGTGAGGTGGTGGTGGTAGTGGTGGTGTGGTGGTGGTAGTGGTGTTAGTAGTGGTGTGGTAGTAGTGGTGGTGGTGGTGGTAATTGATTGAGTAGTAGTGGTGGTGAGTAGTGGTGTGAGGTGGTGGTGGTAGTGGTGGTGAGTAGTGGTGGTAGTGGTGGTGGTGTGGTGGTGGTGAGGTGGTGGTAGTGGTGGTGTTGGTGGTGGTGGTGGTGGTGGTGATAGTAGTGTGGTGGTGGTGGTGGTAGTGGTGGTAGTAGTGGTAGTGGTGTTATAATCTACCTACCTGAATCTCAAGACTTCTTTTCCTCCTCCATCTTCTCTCCTCCCTCTCACCCCCCCCTCTCTCTCTCTCTCTCTCTCTCTCTCTCTCTCTCTCTCTCTCTCCCCCCCCTCTTCTCTGACATCATCACCTATATACCATCATAGGTCGCTAACAGGGAGCCCATTCAACAACACCTCCTAATTTACCACCACCCCCCACCCCACAGCCGACTTGGGGTAACCTGTAATAAAGGTCAAATAGGGAGAGAAATCTGGTCTTGGTCTGATGTTGGTCTGATGTTGAGCTAAATAGGTCTAGCTGAAAGGTTGTTTGAATGTTGTGTCTGACATACATACATACATACATACATACATACATACATGTGTGTGAGTGTGACAGCTAGAGGCATTTAATGGGAATGTTGCCATGAATATGAAATACTGAAAGGCGGCTATGTGCGTGATGAGTGAGAGTTGGTAACGCTGTCCTGGTGAAACACGAGAGTTGGTAACACTGACCTGGTGAAAAACGTCAAAACAAGCTGGGTAGGTTTTCCTTCCTTCCTTCCTTCCTTCCTCCCTCCCTCCCCTCCCCTCCTTCCGTCCTTTCTCACTCCTTCCTTCCTTCCTCCCTCACTCTCTCCTTCCCTCCTCCCGTCCTTTCTCACTCCTTCCCTCCTTCCTTCCTTCCTTCCTTCCCTCCTTCATCCTTTGGCTACCTGGGGCTAGAGATAGGGGAAACTTCTTATAGTCCTATGTTGACATACCTGTTCACGTCACCTGACTTAGTGTAATCAGAGTTAACGTATGGTAGCCTGTGTTTAACCTACAGTACACTAAATTAACTTAATGTGGATTGAACTTGATTTAACTTGACATTGGCTAACAGTAACTTAACGGAATCTAACATATCGTAACTTTAACTTGATCGAACATAACCTAACTTTAACGTAACATAGCCTAACTTTAACGTAACATAGCCTAACTTTAACGTAACATAGCCTAACTTTAACGTAACATAACCTAACTTTAACGTAACATAACCTAACTTTAACGTAACATAGCCTAACTTTAACGTAACATAGCCTAACTTTAACGTAACATAGCCTAACTTTAACGTAACATAACCTAACTTTAACGTAACATAGCCTAACTTTAACGTAACATAGCCTAACTTTAACGTAACATAGCCTATAACATAACATAACTTTATCGTCATACAACCTAACCTAACGTATCATAAATATCCTGATATCAATACTATCTGAACTTAACTTTGTATTCTGATCTGATATTTAAGATCAAATATGTCCATCACTTACTAAAACGATATTCATTTGTTTATACATTGCCTCCCACCTGTTGGTTCCTCTCCATATTGTTCAGGAGGATCCGACACCAATTAGTCGTTTGGGATCCTCTGTCGCCGCGATATTGGGGGATTGAGTTGTCTGGCCGTGAATATGTTATACTTTGTAGGCGTTATTTTGGTACTTTAAACGTTCTCCCTAAGCTGTTGATGTTCTTTTGATGTTTCTTCGCGTTATTTGGACATGACAATCATTCTAGGTGTTTCCTCGGCGTTCATATGACATTCACGGGAGTTCTTTTGAGGTTCACAACCATTATTTTTGGCTTTATCGGCGTTCGTCTTCAGTTATCGACGTTTTAATGACATGAATAGCGTTGTGACGTATATGAATGGCCGGAGTTTCTCTTAACTGAATAAAATCGTCTTTCATTAACCAGAATAAAATACCTATGTGTGACATTACTCCTTATAGGGTTAATCTGACCACAGTCCTCCTCGGTCTCTGTGGTAGTAAAGGATTAAGATGTCTCCCGCGAATGTCATTTGTTTTGGCTGACGTATCAAGCGTTATTCTGGAATTTATAGGCGCCCAGCTGACAATAGACGTTCCTAGTAAGTTATTGGGTCTCTCTCTCTCTCTCTCTCTCTCTCTCTCTCTCTCCACACTAGTTACACCTCCACTATGACGCCATTGTTCCACCTGAATAACACGGTGTCCCTCCCACTTCCAGACCTCTGCCACATCTCCAGCTACCCTGCCCCACCCCGCCCCACATGGCCCCGTCTAGCCCCGCACCCGTCTAGCCTCGCCTCACCTTCCCTGTCTCGTCCCTTCTTACCCTACCCTACTCTACCTTGTTTTGTCGTCAAGCCTCTTGTTGTTGTTGTTGTTGTTCTTGTTCTTCTTCTTCTTCTTCCATCCGTCAGGTGTTAATACCAGCACTTTAGTTACCACTAATTAATACACACGTTACCTGCGTCAGTTGTTGATCACAGGTTACGAATAACACCTGGACAAACGCACCTGTGATTATATCTTGGTGGCATGGATGGATGACTGGCTGAATAAATGAATGGATGGAATGATGGATGGAATGATGGATGAAGCTTGAATTGATGGATGAATGAATCGATGGATAGATAAACAACCATTAGATCAACTCCCACAGTGCCACTAACTTTCTCTTACAGTGCCATTAACGTCAACAGGGTCACCATATGATCCTCTAAATCGTCAGTGATAGTGCCATAAATATCACCCCTTAATCTTGGCACACTCAGAGGCACCAGTGTCACGTGGAGGAAAGACTCACTAAGATCGTAACTGAAGACGTAAGAGTCTTTGTTGACACGGTGCCAATGTGACTTGACCTCTCGTGGCACAACTAGACACGGTGCCAATGTGACCTGACCTCTAATGGCACTACTAGACACGGTGCCAATGTGACCTGACCAATCGTGGCACTACTAAACACGGTACCAATGTGACCTGACCTCTGGTGGCACAACTAGACACGGTGCTAATGTGACCTAACCTCTCGTGGCACAACTAGACACGGTGCTAATGTGACCTAACCTCTCGTGGCACAACTAGACACGGTGCTAATGTGACCTAATCTCTCGTGGCACAACTAGACACGGTGCTAATGTGACCTAATCTCTCGTGGCACAACTAGACACGGTGCTAATGTGACCTGACCTATCGTGGCATTATTAGACACGGTGCCAATATGACCTGATCTATCGTGGCACTACTAAATACGGTGCCAATGTGACCTGACCTCTCGCATTCGTATATTTCATTGTAAATCTGTTGACCTGACACACACGTGACCCCGGGTAAGGTCAACACTATTACCACCTGACACCGCTATGATTTGGTGACCGTTCAGGTGGTAATAAATGGGTTGATGTTTTACAATGAGGTTGTTGGGGGGTGATGTATGAAGTGCGTGTGCGTGTGCGTGTGCATGCGCGTGCGCGTGCGCGTGCGTGTGCGTGTGCGTGTGCGCGTGTGCGTGTGCGTGTGCGTGTGTGTGTGTGTGTGTGTAATTCACCTGAGAATTCCTTTGTTGTACACCTGTGACTTTACCTTAATTAGGGACGATCACTTAGCACTAGACTAAACCAAAACAAAGACAAAATTCTCTATCTTAAGTGAACTCATAAGGTAGAGTCTCAGTGTAATATTGGGGCCATTATATTCTAACCTGGTCTCTGTGTTCAGTTCATCTTGTTAGGTTAATTCTTATATTTTCACTTAAGAGAAATAATGAACTTTTTGAGCCTTTGAATTTCTGTATATTAAGGAAAATTTGGGAAAACCTAAAAAAAAATTGGTCATAGGAATTTGTTATTAAATTATGTTTGTTATTTTTTATCAGACAGGAACATTAATCATTTTTCTCTCTTTTCCAGACGGACGGTGGGACGGTGGGACGGTGGGACGGTGGGACGGAGGGACGGTGGGACGGAGGGACGGTGGGACGGAGGGACGGCAGCATGTACAGCAGCAGCAATAGCAGCAGCAACAGCAGCATTCCCAGCAAGATCAGTAGTCCTAGCAACTGCAGCGTGCCTAGCAAAACTAACAGTCCTAGCAACACTGGTCTTCCTAGTTATAGTGGTGTCCCTAGCAGGACTAATAGCCACATCAACAGTGGCCTTCCTAGCAAGACAGGCAGTCCTAGCTACAGTGGCCTTCCTAGCAAGACAGGCAGTCCTAGCTACAGTGGCCTTTCTAGCAAGACAGGTAGTCCTAGCTACAGTGGCCTTCCTAGCAAGACAGGCAGTCCTAGCTACAGTGGCCTTCCTAGCAAGACAGGTAGTCCTAGCTACAGTGGCCTTCCTAGCAAGACAGGTAGTCCTAGCTACAGTGGCCTCCCCAGCAGGTACGCCCACTACCCCTCCAAGAACGACTCCAACAACAACATGAACAGTCCCGGTGCCTCCGTTAAGCCCCCTGCCAGTGTAGTCAACAGCAGCCCCTACGACCATCAGCTGCTGGAGCGACTTGTACCACGACACATCACCACCGAACACGTCGTATTCAGCCACAAGTGAGAGAGAGAGAGAGAGAGAGAGAGAGAGAGAGAGAGAGAGAGAGAGAGAGGTGTGATAAAACAATGTATTGGTCTATAATTTTTCTGGTATATATTCATTCTGGCCAATGTAGTGTATCCTTATATCTCACCTCTCACCTCCCTTACCTCACTTCTCATCTCTCACCTTCCTTACCTCACCTCTTACCCCTCACTCCTCGCATTCCTTACCTCACCCCTCACCAAATGTCAAAATATTCACTCTTTCCTCACCTCTCCCATTTCCTCCTCAATCAACGCACTCTCCCTCCTCTCGTTCCTCCCACATACACACTCTCCCTCCTCCCGTTCCTCCCACATACACACTATCCCTCCTCCAGTTCCTCCCACACACACACACACACACTCTCCTTCCTCCCGTCTCCTCACCTCTTACCCACACTCTCCCACACCACCTCTCATCCACACTCTCTCCCACACTCACCCACACACTCTCCCACACACTTTCCCACACCACCTCTCATCCACACTCTCCCACACTCACCCACACTCTCTCCCACACACTCTTCTACACCACCTCTCACCCACACTCTCTCTCACAGGACGAAGGTTGGAGGTCGATCCCTGTACTTCTTCAGCCCAGCGTCCAGAGGCGGCCTGACCAAGCCTGTCTTTACAACCAGAGAGAAGTTGACGCCTTTACTTGACGGTTCTGCGGTATGTTGTGTCTGTCTTTTGTCTATATTTCTCTCTCTCTCTCTCTCTCTCTCTCTCTCTCTCTCTCTCTCTCTCTCTCTCTCTCTCTCTCTCTCTCTCTCTCTCTCTCTCTCTCCTTAGAATGCTTAAGAACTCAAGGACTCGTAAGAGGCGCGTCACCACGAGAAAGTCTACGGTGTCGCCCAACCACATTTCACTATCTCGACCTCAACACTCTGACTCCACGAGAAAATCTACGGTGGCGCCCACCCACTTTTCACTATCTTGACCTCAACACTCAAATTAACTGTACTTTTTTTTTCAGGGGATTAGTCCACTCGGGCACAGGTCTCTGACCCACATCGGGCCTGGGTGGCGAAAATTTAGTAGTAATAATAATAATAATAATAATAATAATAATAATAATAATAATAATAATAATAATAATAATAAATTAAAAAATATTCAATAGTGAGAAACAATATATGTATGTTGTGTTGTCAGTAGTAAGAGAAACAATTGAGACCCTGCAATTGTGTGTAAATGAGGCAGGAAGTCAGATCAGCAACCTGGGACTTGGTCACAATTTTTTTGATGCCATATAGCAGCAGGGTCTACCATTAGACAACACATTATGCTTCCAATATCTTCCCAGGTGGTAGTACCTCCCTGTCCACTACCTAATCTAAGAACATAAGAATGGAGGAACCTGCAGTGTGCTCACTATTGGCCCATACTAAGCAGTCCTGTTTACACCCAACCCCTATCGCTCATATATTCATCCAACCTATATTTGAAGCTACCCAGTGTATTCGAGTTAATGATGATGTTTGGTAACTTGTTCCACTCGTCCACTACTCTATTTCCAAACCATTGTTTACCCATTTCGCGCCTAAATCTAAATTTGTCTAATTTAAAACCATTCCTACGATTCTCTCCTGGTTGGATAGTTTAAGTACCTTTGTATTATCACCTTTGTTTAGCCCTGACTTCCATTTATACACCTCTATCATATCGCCCCTCACTTTACGTCTCTCGAAGGAGTGCAAATTAAGATGCTTTAATCTGTCTCTGTACCCAAGGTTCCTAATGCCCGGGATTAGTCTTGTTATCCACCTCTGTATGGTCTCTAACCTGACTTAGCTTACCTAACAGGAAGCCAGTGTAAGTACAATGACTCCTTACTTATCTATCTGTAAACATAAAGACGATGTCTCCCTTCACACACACACATATAGTGAAGATATGAGAGAGCTGATTTAAGGTGAGGCATAACAATTAGTGTTTAATGTGGTGTTTTACTCACTCACCAGCCCTCCACCACCCCTCCACCAGCCCTCCACCAGCCCTCCACCTCCCCTCCACCCGGTGCTGACGTGTTCTCACCTCTACACTAGGATGACGAAGACGAGGCGGACGACGTGTACCACGGGGGGTCACCAGGTCGTCGTAGCAGCAGCGCCATGGGGATGGGGTCAGCAGGTCGTCGTGGTGCTCGCCGTCGGGAGGAGCTGAGTCCTGGGGTAGTGTGCACCATCAAGCGGGTGCACCTGGGGGACCCTGCCTGTGACCTGGGGGTGAGCGTGTGGCGGGGACGAGGCCCTAAGAGGGGCCTCCAGGGGCCCCAGAGACCCCCAGTAGGGACAGGCCCCGCGCTGCTGGTGGAGACGCCGGACAGTGGGTGAGTATCAAGGTTTTGACACTCCTGCCTGACATGCAACGCCAGTACGAGCAATCAGGTACGCCTGGTGTTCCCTTCAGTTCTGGCTTTGCGGTATAAACAGTAACACCATAGATTGAATGAGCGCCAGTGCAGGCAGAAGACGGGAGAACATATATCTACTCCAGACAGTGATCCATATGCCTTATGCTCGCCTGGCGCTCCTGTATGCCTGGCGTAAAGAGGATCTTTTCTATGGTTGTGTTATATAAAGACAATTATCTTTGTATGCGAAGTGTCCGTGTGTGTGTGTGTGTGTGTGTGTGTGTCAGGGAGAAAATAATGAGGTAATAACACAGGTAAGCGCCACATCAGCTGACCAGAAAAACAATAACAACAAAATCAACATAATTATGACATCACACCAATTTCTTCACTATTCCGTTTTACTGAATTTACCTCCAATACATCACTTAACATTCATACTTCCCCATTCGTGTATAAAGACAAACAGTGAAGACATAAAGAGGAGGTGAGCCGGTGAGGGGAGGGGTAGGAGTAGGAGGTGAGCCGGTGGGGGAAGAGGGAGGGGTCAGGGTAGGGGGTGAGGGGGAGAGGGTGGGGTAGGAGCATCATACGTTGCCATGGTGACTACTATTACAGCCTAAAATTGAAACCTGATTGGTCCAATAGGTCAGGTGGCTCCCAGCTGACTAACTCTAACCTACTGTAGCCTATTGACTCTAATGTTGAGAGAGAGAGAGAGAGAGAGAGAGAGAGAGAGAGAGACTTATCTACCTCACCCACTCAATCAGATCTTCCTCTCCTTCACAATACAGTACAGGTAAATAGCACCAACATCTCTCCTCCCTCACCACATGCTCTTCTCACCTGAACTCTCGCTTACTGATTACCCCCACACCTGCCTTAATCACCTGGCAACGACCTGGGGCTTTATGGGGAGGTCCTCTGGCCGTCCCTTGATAACGTCCGCCGTCTCTGATTATAATCTTGGGCAGGAAGGAATCTCAAGATGGGACGGGAGAACAGGCTATACTAGGAAGGGAATTTTATCCTGATGGGTGTGTCCTGATGGGTGAAGTCCTGATGGGTGAAGTCCTGATGGGTGTTGTCCTGATGGGTGTTGTCCTGATGGGTGTGTCCTGATGGGTGTCCTGATGGGTGTGTCCTGATGGGTGTGTCCTGATGGGTGTTGTCCTGATGGGTGTGTCCTGATGGGTGTGTCCTGATGGGTGAAGTCCTGATGGGTGAAGTCCTGATGGGTGTTGTCCTGATGGGTGTTGTCCTGATGGGTGTGTCCTGATGGGTGTTGTCCTGATGGGTGTGTCCTGATGGGTGTGTCCTGATGGGTGTGTCCTGACAGGTGTCCTATTTTGGGAGTATCCTATTACGGTGATGCCCTATTATAAGAGACATCCTTAACCCTGAATTCACATTAATAGGATTCCCATTTATACCATATCCATAAATACGTACTAGGTATATTAACTGGATGTCCATTAATAAGTCATCCTCAAATAGGGTTGTGTGTACCTTTGGTGTCCTCGCCGCTAATTGGCTTCCGTCTGATATGGCCTGACAGATTATACCTTACATAAATAATATAGATAATAAACTTGACTACGCCTGAATAGAATAATATATGCAATCTATTTTTTTTAATCATAGGGCAGAGAGATGTTTAGGTGAGGATAGAGAGGTAGTTTGGATAGGCGGGGATAGAAGGTGGAGTAAGGATAGATGAAGATAGATTATTATGGTCTTGGTGCCTTATTACTCTGAGACGAGGCCCTTTTGGACACAATCCTACCGACTAAAGGGGGAAGGGGAGGGAAGGAAGGAAGGAAGGAAGGGAGGGAAGGAAGTAAGGAAGGGAGGGAAGAAAGGAAGGAATTAAGGAAGGGGGGAGGGAGGGAAGGGGGATCTTGCTCTACAGTCACCATCACCTACAAGGCCCCCCATCACCCCCATACACCCTCCCATCACCTACGAAGCTCCCCCCCCCCACCTCGCCCGGCTCAGGAGGTTCATATTTACCAAGGTGGTGACAAAATCCTTAATCACTTTGTGTGGCCTCCCATTCTTCCCCTTCTTCCCCCTGTCTCATCTCTTGTCTCCCCATTTTTATCTCCCCGTTTCTCTTTTTATCTCCCTGCTCGGGGGGTTTTAAAGGTCTTCTCCCGGGAGGCAATTAATATATTTCCATCTTTGGACCCAAATACTGAAAAATTTAATTAAAGTTCTCTAAATTGAATCTATGATATTGGCACAGCACTGGAGATGTAAACAAGAGGAGGACGGTACGTAAAGTTTCGTGCATTTTTATAGGATAACGTACGTACGTCTTAGGCTATTTACGTACCTTTTAATCTACGAATTGACAAAACACGAGGAACAGACAGTAAGCCTTCGTACATAGAAACACGTGCGTCGTTACTGATTTTCCTACCATTAAATACACGACAATGGACATTCACCCGAGACGTTTACAACACAAGTACCGATGAAAAACTCCGTACTAGCGATGACATATCTCGCCTCAATGCCCAGTTTTCGCGCCACTGGGAGTTTCCTATCTTACGCTGCAAGCATAAAAAGGTTTCTCTTGTCTCGAATGAGGTTTCACATCACAAAGAAATGCTTTCGTTTTTCTCTGGTAAAAATACTGGTGTTTGGTGTTTGGGAGCGTGTGTTTTGATTCTGAAGGGATATCGGTTTTTTAGGGTGATGGTTTAATCTTGTGAGGGTTCTGGTTTAATAAGGTGATTGTTTAACTCTAAGTTTTTATGGGTTAACCCTCTGGAAGTAATGGTTAACACTTAAATGAATATACAGGTTTAACTCTGTAAAGGTTTGTTTAGGACAATGGTTTAATAGGATGATATTTTAACTTTTTCAGTACGATGTTTTACAGGTTTAGATGAATCAATATGAAACTTGTTAAACATCATCACTACTATTCAAAATACGTTTATGTTTTATTTTAGGGAAGTAATTTAAGGTCAGGGTCACTTACTGTCAACTACCCTTCACTCGACTGTCTTTTACGCAATGATGTAGAAGACAGGAAAATGGCCGACCTACGGCTATCTTTCCTCCCTAGTGGGCCGTGGGTGAGTGTTGACAGAGACTCACCAGGAAAGGAGACGATTCCTCAGAGAAGGGATTTTAGTACACACACACACACACACACAAGAATATTCAAAACATTCAATAACTTACAGACATATAAAGGATTGCCAGGAGTTATTGGGTCGTAGGTGAAGGGATGCAGAGGCGGGATTATTTTCTTTCCCTGGTAATGATCGTTTTATTATGGATGATGGCTGGTCACTTGTCCAGGCGCCCAGCTGAGAGCCCACGTGGACGGTGGTCAGCTGGTCGTGAGGTAAACACCGCCTTGCCTGACGTAAGAGACCAAGACTCGATGTTACGAGTACATTAGTAGCTAAGTCCTGATGGGCCCCAGTGGTAATGGTTAGCTGAAAGCTGGGTCTTATTGGTACTGGGCCTATTAAGGCTGGGGCTCATCGGGATTGGTGCCATTCACTACTGGGACCCGCAAAGACTAGGACTCATTAGTACTGCGGCCCACTAGTACTGGGGTCCACAAGGACTAGGGCCCACAAGGGCTAGGGCCGAGTAGTAATGGGGCTCACTAGTACTGGGGCCCACTAGTACTGGGGCCCACAAGGACTGAGACCCATTAGTACTGGGGCCCACTAGTACTGGGGCCCACTAGTACTAGGGCCCCACAAGGACTGAGACCCATTAGTACTGGGGCCCACGAGTACTGTGGCCCACTAGTACTGGGGCCCACAAGGACTGAGACCCACTAGTACTGGGGCCCACTAGTACTGGGGCCCACTAGTACTGGGGCCCACAAGGACTGAGACCCATTAGTACTGGGGCCCACGAGTACTGTGGCCCACTAGTACTGGGGCCCACAAGGACTGGGGTCCATTCGACACAGAACCGAAACCAAAATATTCCAAATTTATACAGCAAAATCAGGAACCATTTTTCAGAACTCATTAAATCTAACCTTCCATGACCTCTCGCACACCGGTGATCACACCTCATTACCTGTATTAATTAGTAGGTAATTAACTAGTCAGTCCGCTGATAAAGTTAATTAGTAATTTTATTAAAGGTTGCATCAAGATATTTGGTGATTCCTGTAAAGATTATATTTTTGATATTTTTGCCCTTTACGGTATTATTGGGTACGTCTGTCTGTCTCTCTCTCTATGAATTTTTCTGTTTCGTTTTCTCTTTATCTTTTCTGTATATCTATTCCTCTCTGATATTATCTCTCTCTCTCTCTCTCTCTCTCTCTCTCTCTCTCTCTCTCTCTCTCTCTCTCTCTCTCTCTCTCTCAATCACTCTATCCGTATGTATATATAGTGTCGCTAGTCTCAAGGCCCCACCTCCATTACCACCTTCCCAAGTACTAAAAAGACCAGATGTTACGGTGAATTTCCTCCACCTTTAAAGCAACACCAGGCTTTTCTCCCTCTAGGGATATCTGGTCACTAGCGAAGACCTAACATGTTGTAGAGTAAAGGTGAATTGAATTTTACCTCGAGAATTCCCCGGTGCTGCTGTTAAAAGACTCTCTGAAGCGTATTTTGGGGATTTGGCTTTGCACTTCTTTCCCCTTCCCCTTCCCTTCCCCGCCCCCTTCCCCTTATCCTCTTCTCCACCTTGTTCTTCTTCTACCCCTATTCTTATCCTCCTCTCTCTCCCTTTTTCCCATTTCTTACTTTATCTTTCCCCCCTCCCTATTTCCTCCTTTCCCCAACCCTCATCCCTTAGTCTACTATATTTTCCCCTCCCTCTCTCTTTCATATCCCTTCTCCTTTCCTTTACCTCCTCCTCCTCATCTCCTTACTTCCTCTTCCCCCTCCTCATCCCCATCTCCACTTCCCCTCCCCCACTTTATCTTCCCCTTCCTCACTTCCCCCTATGCGACACAGCCCTCCCCCACCACCACGATTCTGAGGTTATGAAAAAGTTTACAGAAATATCGCGACACTTAAATTTCGACAGCGTTTATTCACTAATTTTATGAAGGTATTTGAGAGTGTTTTGGAAAGGTGTCGAACTTTTAATCATAGAGAGGCCAGGCATAAATATGAACGATGAAAAAATATATAAGCAATTATATCTTGCCATTTATTTTTCTCGATAATGTGATCTTTATTTAAAATAGGTTTTTGTATGAGTATTTTTTTATTCAAATTTAAAATAACTAAATGTATAAACGAATTAGATTGATAAAAAAGGAACAAGCAGAGTAAATAATAAATATAGAAATGTAAACTACAATATATAGTTATACACGAATAAACAGATACAATATTCAGTTACATCTTAAAAAAAAAAAAAAAATACCGCTAGCACTTTCCTTTCAACCACAACAAAGTCATCTTAAGGAGTACCTCAGCCTTAGGGACCTCAGGAGGTAAAGGAGAGAGAGGCCACCCTGTACGCAAGCTCACCCCTCCAACCACCTCCTGGCTCACACTGATCACTGCGCCCGCCTCTCACACTACACGCCACTAAGAGACACACCGTTACTCTGGTCATGATCACACAGCCCGGCCCTAACAATACCTCATACGAAGCCTTTGATGTGTGCTGAAGAAGACCCTGCCCTTTGTTGTGGGATGGAGGAAAGGATGGAGCGACTTAGAGAGGGAGGAAGGAAGGGAGGGAGGAAGGAAGAGAGGGAGGGAGGAAGAGAGGAAAGGAGGGAGGGAGGGAGGGAGGGAAGGAGGGAGGAAGGGAGGGAGGAAGGGAGGGAGGAAGGAAGGAAGGAATGGAGAGAGAAAGAGAGGGAGGGAGGAAGAGAGGGATGAAATAAGGGAGAGAAGAAAGGAGGAAGGAAGGGAGGGAAGAAAGAGAGTGAAGAAAGAAAGAAGAAAGGGAGGAAGAGATGGAGGATGGGAAGGAGGGAGAAAGAGAGGAAGGAAGAGAAGAAGGGAAGGAGGAATGAAGGAAGAAGGAAGGAAGGAATCACACAGAGAAGAACACCAATCGCATGAAACAAGTATGAGCAGTTTAACCTCTGTCTCCCCTTAACCTTCTCCAATCACCGCATCGTTTTCTTTCATCACGTTAAGGCTTGTAACAGTGACGTTTAAGGGGGAGACTATAGTATTTCATCCATGTAAACAAAAACATGATCGGAGGGAAGAATTAGTAAGATTGACGCCAAAGCTTAGTCATCGATGCCCCTCAAGTTATATATTTCTATCTCGTGTTTCATTTGTTTTTCTTTCTTCGCATAAACAACAACCTTATTAAAGTTGGGAGGAAAACAAGTTCACTTAAAATAAATTACTTCTCGGTAATTTGTTCTTCGAAAACATCTCCCTAGGTCCGTCTCCCTCCCTCACAAGGTCGAGTCCATCAAACAAGAGGAAATTAATCGAAATGCTGTTTGTTGACGATTTAACGGCTTCCATCTCCCACCCCCCCCCACCCTCTTTCTTTCCTCCCACTCTTTGTCCCCGCCCCTGCCTCTCCTTCCCTCCACCTTCTCCCCTGCCTTTCCCCCTCCTCTTCTTTCCTCACTCCTCCCCCTTCTCCCCCTCCCTCCCATTACGTATCTACCTCTTTGTTTGACACCCAGCCCACTCGCTTGACCCCCCCTATCATCCACTCCATTCAGCTCACCCCTCTCTCAGGCACAATTATAAGTTTATTGTACTCTATGAAATTCGTAAACCCAACCCGATGTCACTAGAGATATTAAATAACCTCTAAACTTACTTAATGACTTAAAAGAAACATTAAAAGACTTCTAAAAACAGATCAATATTCACACAGTACTGGAACACACATCATCAGTCCTCCTGTGTTTCAGACGAGTTGGGGACGGCATGGCGATAGCGGCGGGATACACGGGCGAGGTGATGTATCTTCTGCCTTACACTATCCTGGGCCGCACTGATCTAGAGCCACGAGCCACGGAGATACTTGTACAGGTAAGTCAGCCAAGTAGTCATGGAGGTAAGATAGGCTATATTAACCTAACCTAACCTGAATTAACCTAACCTAACACACATAACATAAACAAGTATTTCTTACATATATTATTGTTAATGTTTTATTGATGTACCATATTATGTGTTTCAGGACGCCATGTTGTCGTGTGTGAGTGAGTCAGTGGTGTGGTTCGTGGTGAAGAGCTTTACTAGGAGGAAGGTCATCACCAACACCCGCCAACTCTCCCACCAGAAACTGAACATCGGCAAGCTCAACCTACGATCGTCTGACATGAAGAAGTCGTCTTGATGATCACCTGTAGTTATTATCTAGTTTATCTGTGTGTGTGTGTGTGTGTTTGTGTGTGTGTGTGTGTGTGTGTGTGTGTGTGTATGTATGTATGTATGTATGTATGTATGTATGTATGTATGTGTGTGTGTTGTTTTGGTCGTAACCCATTTGGAGACTCGACCAATGGTGTAAGGTTATAGTGCCCAAGTTTATCTCTGTAATAAAGATATTTGCAAAGTTTACTGTATGATAAATGTTCTTAATGTCACTGTTTGTATGGCAGTATAATTAAAACACACAACTGTTCTTGTGGCGCAAGCCTTGACGTCAGAGGTGGTGTGGGATGACTACTTAAGTGAGTCCGTGTTAAGACGCGGGTTGTTTCTTAATGCATAGGATTTGTTTCACGTAATAGATAGATAGATACTTTGTAAAGTCGCCATGCAAGTTTACATTTGTTCAGCACATACAGTTGCCTCAAAGAATTCCTTTACCCCCTGTGGTGATGTTGGCGTACATGTGGCAGTGTTGCATTACTAGAGCAAACTTATGAATGAATCCCTAATAGTCTTGAAACAATGAAGCTGATTGGTGGAATAGATTCCTAGACGTGATTTACCTTGTCAATAATGATAAATAGATATATACAAATTTTGGATAACTGTGCAACATGTTTATAGACCACAATTCAGGTTCTTATAAAACAAAACAAAAATTATATATATTCTCAAGATAATGCCTGAGAGAGAGAGAGATTTTGTTTCCCTTTGGCCGGTGGAGGGAGGCAATGGTGCTGATGGTGAGCTTGTCGCGAGGCCATGGAGGTGGTGTTGAGGTTAGAGTGAACATTGGTTGTGACTAGGTTATACACTGAACTTGGTTGAGCGAAAGTTTCAAGTGTAAAGGCAGATTAAGATTCATTCATATTTATTTTCTGGACAATAAGGAAAATACCAACTTTGAGTGTAGTACAGTAGTTTGTGACGAGTAACCTTGTCTGGTGTTTGGTAGTATTTAATGATGTATTTTTTATTCCAATCAGTCGGTGTTTAAGTAATTATTTTTATCAAGTCTCTGAAGGAAAATATAAAACTGGTGATCATTCCACAAAATATTGCAAGAAATAATGGCAACTTCCCCCTTAACCCTGACTCATGCGCTATGGTGCTGTCTGGTGATGCTGTACCGGATTAAATATTTGATGAAGGTCATAACACCTGAGTTAATTATAATTCAGGAGGGAAATGTATTCAAAATGCATATGGGTGAATAATATATCTATGTTGGGTGTTATTTTTTATTTATTTTTTCTTAGTAATGGCAGCTCGTGACACATCAAGTTGTTTGTGCCTTTTATATCGTCAAATGTTCAGTAGATGAAGTACAGTACCCGGTATATTGTATTGTGCTCTCGTGGGCCACAGCAGTGATGTATGACGGTATGGTATAATACAGTACAGTACCTGTAGTTATATTAAGGACCAGCTGGCCCGGCTTAACATGTCATTAAAACTCGGAATGAGAAAGGGTCTTATCCTTTCTCCAGTTGCAGGCTTGGCACATTCTTACCGTGCACCTCTTTGGTAGTCTGCAACTGTTCTGAAACTCCAAAACAACCTGAAAAGATTTGTATTATTTTTAAATAGTTTGTTGCATAACCCACACGAAGAAAGCTTAGTGTTTTGAGTGTGTCTGCTTGGTTTTTGGTGTTAGGGTCCATGAATAGTTAGGAACTGATATCTTTTGGGGAAATTTTAGAAATGTTAACTTTATGGTTGCTACGTTATTACTGAAGTTAGCAACCAATTGGATGGTACCAGGACATTTCATCACCGGACAATTCATCACCGGTTCCGTAAAAACCTAACCTAACCTAACCATGACTTTATCACCTCCAAAATAAAGACATTATTATCCAAATTTAATGTATACGTAACACGGTGTGTATTCAATAGACTGGTCACGAATTGTCTGGTGACGAGATGTCCGCCTACCCCTACTGGATACAAGGCCTGGACTCCTTCCTTGTACATTAGCCTTTGAACACTCAGCAATAATATTAGTACAGTACACTAAAAATGTGCTCGTAGGTAGTGGAACAACCCTTAGGTGGACTAGCAGCCTGTCAAGGGATTAGGTTAACCCACTAGTTGCTGAATGCAGAGAACCATGTCTTCAGTCTAAGTTGATAATCATTGTATGTGTACATTAGTTAAATAAAGTAGTAGGGAAAGCCAAGTAACTTAGCACATTTCCACATAAAGGTACAGGTAGTACAGTTATTAGTTATCTGACCATAGTTATCAAGAGTTTGTTAAGAGCTTAAGAAGTGTGGAGGGAAGAGGAGAAACAAAAATAAATAAACACAGTAATTTGTTTCAGATTATTTATGTTATACAGCCGCTGGGTTAGATTAGAAAACAGTACTGACGGGGAGGTTTGGCTCGGTAGGTTGGCTGTGTATTGATTAAAACTTATCTAACTTGACAATATTATTTGCCTATCTATCTCCTATCCCTTTTATTTGTCTTTGTCATCACATACAGAACACTGGCACAGGCTCAGATACATTCAGGAGCCAGTGCATGCTCAGTACCTGCCAACAGTGCCTAACAGAGACGTGACCGATCGCCCAAGCGGGTAACGAGCCGATCAGTGGTGAAGAGGATAAAAGTATACGCACTGTAGACTGTAGTACAGTACAGTATTAACCTTCTTTACATAGTCTTGAAATCTTAAGTACAGTATGATCACTGGAGACACTGCCTTTAGTGTAAATTTGCAAAGGATTTGGTCTTGCCTTCTGGGTAATACTTTTCATTTTAATGGCAAACCAGTATATGAAATTTAGTCTTTTTTTTTGCCATACATCTCATTGAACAGTGATTCTGTACCACCTTGCATAGAGTGACAGATAATATAGGATATGATGATTGTTAATACTCTGTCATAACTTATACCATTGGTAATTTGAATGATACAGAGGAGGTACTATGCTATTTATATCTGTAGCAGAGAACACTACACAGTATGCTGTCATCAGCTCATAGCACTTTATAATCCCGGCAGCGGCGTTTCTACACATACTTGGTCTTCAGTCTCACCTCCTATAAGGATAACTAGTCCATTACTATTAATTGCTTATTGATACTGTTAGTTAAAAGTTCCTGTTGACCCTGCTATAGACTACAACAGTTTTAGTACTGTACTACATTAGTACTGCCATAAGCTCAATTTGTATCGTTGCCTCTCATAGTTTTCAGGGATCCCAGCCAAATTTGGTTAAAAGTCTACAGGTAATATATCGGTATTTTGGTTGATATACTGTACACTGTTGAAACTTTGTAGGAAAGAAACTTTATTCCAAAATACAGAAAATAGAATGACTGAAAGAAGATCCTGAGGCACTGATGCTGCTGGCATAAGGGTTAAGGAATCTACTGGGAACAAGCCTCTCGGATTTTGTCAGCTGTCCATAGTCAAATTGACTCAATATTTATTAACACAGTGATTGGATAAGATGCATCTTAGATTCACTCAGACAAAGCAGAACTGCAATTTATTTCTTAAGTCATCAAACACTTCAAGAACTTATTACCTCATTAAATACCTCCAAATACTTATTACTTCAATCGACAATTGTGGTATTGTCACTCTGCCAAATGATATTCAGTACTGGGTATACACCAGATATCACTGGACCCTCAGGTCTTACCTTACCAAGTAGCAAATTAACTCTTCACTTCTTGGTTATATCATTATACTCTCAGATTATCATTTCATGGTCACTACCAATGAATACATAGCACAATGAACAACTCCACAATTATCTCAACATACAATACCTCCTGTTAATTCACAAGGAACGACATGGCACTTTTAACTCTCATTCAGTGGTTCAATACTTAACCTGGGATACTATATTTCGGCTAGTTATCCCCCAAACAAGATATTATAATACTTAGGCCTAAGTAACTGTGAGGAGTGCCCCAGGGTAACGCTGGTCTCTACAACAAATGAAGATCGCTGTTAGGGGTTGGTTGTAGACCGACACACGCTCAGGGAGTGGGCGCCTGATTTGCAGGAAACGGACTTCCCAGTTCAGTCCTGTCGAATTAACGGCATCGTCCAACCCGGTTACCGACCCACGTTAGCCGATGAGTATTCAGCTCGACACACTGGAGAGACGTTGAGGAAGTCACGAATGCGTGATTCTCCCTCGTGTAGAGGTATATACGTTGTCATGATCGTGATGACGGCTAACCTGAAAACCTTTAGGATTCATATTACGCTCAAACGTCCACAAAACCTTCTGAGTCCCCCAGTGGAAACGTCCCCCGTTTTCTCTGTTTCCCCGTCTTTGTCTTATGGGAACTTTGAATATAATCCACGGATTTAGTAGCAGACGCTGTATGCTGGGACCTGTTGCCATCCAACCCTTTGTAATCAATTTAATTTTGCTTTTGATAGCTGAGTCAGAGCATTGTTAGTGAAGATAATAGTAGAGAATGAAAATGAGTTCATAGTCTCAGTTTCAACGTCAGAGTGTACAGTGAATTAATTCATCGGAATAGAAGTTGGTGGACTCCCTGGTCTGTTTTGAGTGAGGGCCCCGCGGGCATTTCTACCGTTAGTGAGTGCCCGTCCCTTCATCCCTACAGGTTCCCTGACGCTGCCCCGTTTGTCTCCCGATCCCATTGTGATTCTTGAATCGCTCTACCATCCAACAACGGCCTCGGATGTATTAGATGTCCAGCCGGGATCATGTATGAGAAGATGGCACCGATGCGGCCTGATTAATGTGCCCCACGCCTTCGTTGGGCCAGACCCCAGACCCGCCATGTGTCTGGCTACCCCACAATAACAACAGCCCCAGTGCTCTACCCTGGGTTACTCCTTGGAAGTATATGTCCACAGAGAGTGTTGTAACATGTATGCTAGGGATAATTAGTTGGAAATAATTATCCCATGTTGGGTAGTGGACCCCTGCATATACTAGTGTCATTGTTTACGTATATGTTGAATAATCTACAATGAGTGCCATGTAATGTACCACCAGTAATGTTGTGAGTAAGAGTAAAGAAGAAGGTACTGAGTTTGCACTAAGCCCAGGAGGTGAGCCTGGTAATTATATGATTAATACAATATCTTTCCCCCATTGATTGCATATTAATAAATTTGTTTTAGAGTACTTTAGGTGTATTCATTTCTCCCACAGTATTTTACCTTTATTTCCATCCAAGTGACCTGATACCAAAATTACCATACTCACGTGCCTAGACCCTCGACCATGCTACCAAAAGAATGACCATGCTACCAAAAGAATGTCCATGCTACCCAAGCATAGGTGACGGAACTGAGTAAGAGTAAGAACTAAGAGAAGTAAGTAAGATGAGGGTGGTGTAGAAAAGGAGAGGGAACCGGCCCCCTCACATTGGTGGCAGCCCAAGAATCCGCCCCCTCACAACGTGCACCCGCGGGGCAGCTTGGGCCTCCGTATTCATACCAGAAGGGTCGATCTTACCAACAACATAACTTCTCTATCATTTTGGATCACTGTATACTTCATTATGAACTCCGGTGTTCTTGATCAGGGTAATTTCCTATGTCTATTCATATAATCTAATCAGAGGTTGCGCTTGCCAGGAAAAGGTGGAATATAGACGTTGATAACATTAATTCTGCAAGCTCAGGCTTGAGGCGAACAAGGCGCTATTCACGGGGAGGCGCTAGATCTTGGAGATTATACCAGTTGACAGAACAGTTCAGGAGATTAATGACTTTCTTAAATAGACAACTGACACTAACTAAACTATAAACATCAGATTCTCTGATGTCGGGGCGACAAAATTATATAACTTCAGGCGCGATCAGAAACTCATGGATACCCCCACGGACGACATAAAATACGCCACTCTAGCTGGCAAACTCGACACTCACTTACTTGACACGTTTTACTAACGATAAGGACAGTTGAAGCGTTCTACCCCACTCACAATGGATCTTGACTGTTCCAACTGTAAACAGACATATCTAAGTTGACTCAAAACAAGGGTGTTCTCTCTCACACTCAAATTCATTTTATAGAGAGGTTGGTTTCAGTAAGTCAGAGAAAATGGGATAACGGAGGACTGAGGTGTCTTGAAGTGATGAGAAAACGGACTCCTCAGATGGAGGACTCAAACGAAAGCCGAGTTGCATGTTTTGTGGGCTATTGAGCGTAATATGAATCATTTGATTTTGGCGCTAACTGACTTGTAAGACCGTGGTCGTTACAACAGTACAGTGCAGTATAATACTCACATTTTCCTTTTCCCACATGCTTTGTGGTGCTGTACTGTATCAGTTTTTCAGTTGTAGGTACAAAAAATTTTATCACTAGAAAAACTAATAATTTTATGAAAATTTTAGCAAACCACAGTACTAATTATTGCAGTCTCTTTGATCACACCAACCTTGGTGACAAGATGACTCGACTGACCTATTCATGCTTCCCTACCACATGAAAGAACCAGTTGTCAAAATTAATTGTATGGAGCCCCTGAGACACACCCAGAATGAATCTATCAAAACCATGTTATAGATTCAAGTTGTAACACAACACATAACTACAGGCTGCATCTCTGCCATACCAGGTGACTCCTGTATCAGTGCCTTACACTTTTACCTTAAAAAACTTGTATCTCACTTTCCATTTGTATTTGTTTTGAATTAAACTTTATGGTCCTGCTTTACCTTGTGTGGTCAAGCTAGGGCCACACATTCCAGTGTTATAATAAGCAGACATGATTACAATAGATATATCTTTGCCCTACAGTAGATAAAAGAGTACTTGCCTGTGGCACAGAAACAGTTTGACGGAGATCAAGAGGATTACCTTCCCCAAAGGAACTAATTACACATTAGCACTTGAAAGAGGTAAGGCATGTCCAGTACAAGAGGTTCCTTGTCCATGTAGACACTGCCATGCCCCATTGCCATCCATGAGCTTAAATTCCTTGACCAGTATTCTTTTTACTAATGACAGTCACGAGTTATGAAGGGAGGAATCTTAACTCCTGTAATGGTAGCACTGAATAAACTGTACCAATTATTGCACCAATTATTTTTATTGACCACACCATTAAGAAGCTGGACCAATTTAACTACTATAGGTATCCCTTGCTATATGAACGTTCGAGATACAAAAATTCACTTAATCAAATTTACTAAATTAACACCTTTTTCATTTAACGAATGGTTCCCTGCTTATATTGATTTTGGTCAAAGCAGCCAAATCCCTCTAGCCCTCTCCCTACCAGGATGAGGTTGTGAGCCATGTTATGGTTATTTTTCAACTCGTAATTTTGGGTAGATAAACATAGCTTCCTTCATATCTTTTTTTTACTGTACTTAGTTACATGCATGCAAAATCCTACATACAGAATGTGCAAAAAAAAAAAAAAAATAATTATCAAGGTCAAAAACAAAGTGACTACAGTAAACATTTCTTCATGAACCAGCGAGTTAGTAGGCTGAGCAGGACAGTTATGATTATTTTTCAACTTGGCTACATGCACATAATCCTACATACATACATAATGTGCAAAAAAATTAAAATAAATATTTATTATCGGGTAAAAAATATTTATTTATGTACGAGAGCAGGAGGGGGGAGCCCCATTGCTAAGGGTTGGCAGAGGCAGTGACCCAGCTGGGCAGCGTTGCTATGGCGAGGCTTGAGGTCACGCAGCCAGCATCTATGCACATGACGCTTGAGTTAAACATTCATTTAGCTTTTCCATAAGTGTTTCAGCTGCATATTTTCATCTAGATAGTATTTTATCAATGTTTTTAATGTGTTAGGTAGTAAATTACAGTTGCTGTATACTATTTATCATGAGTTAGGTAGTTTTTTGTTGTAGTTTGTAAATTGACTTCATGTTTTGGGTTTTTTGTCATTGGGGAACTGAACCCTATTTTTTCCATAAGTTCTGTTATTTGAGATAGAAAAATTCACTTAACAAATGGTTTCCAGGAACCTAACCCATTCGTATAGCGAGGGATGCCTGTACTGGTAAGTGAAAAGCTTAAGAAATAATTACATTAATCAGTTATATATACAGTATATATAAAAAACAAATAAATATTAAGTTTATTATCTACAGACACATTCAGTATAGAAGTTCCATAAACAGAAGATGGATAGTAATCAATGCCACTGCTGTCTCTGAAACCACAACTCCACTTAACTGTCTTAATACCATGTCATGTAATCTTATCAATACTTAAAAACCTCTTCAATAACTTTTTTATTTTCTATGATTTTGTAAACTGAAAGCTTGATAAGTGATACAGTTGTTGGACATTTTGAATACTTGATGCACTATTAAGTATTTCTTCACTCATAATACAAACAGAAATATCACTACAGTCTCTAGTGACCTCTGAAACTGATTATCCATAGTTCTAATTAACATATAAACATACAGTACCGTACTATCATGCCTCTTATAACAGACAAGATACATTCTTAAGGCGGGTTTGCTGAGCAAAATATCCGTTAAGAGGTCATTCTAACATGGTGCTTATGGAGATGCGTTCTTGTTTAATAGCAAAATTAATTGAACTGATAAATAAATGCCTTTAAATACTACTATTTACATACAGAATGACTAAATAGTGATTATGCATGCCAAAATAGGTCTTAAACATTAGAAAAAAGTTGCAGTTAGTTAGAAATACATATATGATTTTCCACCGCCGACTCTGTACGAAGAATACAATACAGTACTGTAAATATTAAGAAGCAAGCAAAAAAACACCTCCAGCACAATAATAATAAAACACCAAATATGGCTCTCGCAATCAGTACAGGTGATACAGGCTAAACCCCGCTAATCCAGGACCCGAGTTTGGCAGCTTCGATGGTTCGGGACGGTGTCATAGCACACTTCAAGTGGCTGTTGCCACTATTTTACCTTTAAATACTTATAATTTACCCCCAAAATATGCTTCCTAAGAGACCAGCAAGCAGTGGAAGTGGTTGTAATGTTGCAAAACATAAGCATGTGACATTAACCATTTTAGCGAGGTTCTAACCTGTATTGCTTAACTTTGTACATTCAAATGAAGACTTTGACAACGTCAATAATAAATAAAACTAAATTTAATAACACTAACTAGTTAATTTTTCAGAGCTTGCTGTGTGGTTTACCACCACTGCCCCTCTCTCCTACTGAGCACCTACTCCTTCTTTCTGGCAGTGGTGGGAGACAAGAGACAGCTCATGGGAAGACTTTCCTGGGCACCTAGGCTGGTTTACCAATACACTCACTTGCAGGCCATTTACAAGACATAATGGACAATACGTTCATAAGACACACGTAAATAGTGAGTATGAAAAGACCTACCGTGACACAACCGATATGAATCTTGGCGGGCTACTGTATACATTTGAGACGATGGCTGATTGGCTTAGAGAATGTAAGCAATAAAGATAGTGGTGGATTTTATTTTTTGTTCTTTTTCACCACTTGCTTTTATTTTTTCTCTTGAATGTCTCTTGAATGATGCTATACTATACAGTACTTATTAAATGCATATTTTTTCTTATCCGTTAAATGAAATTCCATTGGCCGAGGCTTCGTTAAAAGAGGCATGATAGTACATTATTAAAAATAATCAATAATAGTTTCTTATTGGGAACAAAAGGAGAGCAAAAATGTGATTTGAATGTACAGTACAATAATACAATAGACTTGCTACAATCGTCATCTCTAAGTAACTGAAATTGTCACCTATCCACATATTTCACCCATCTCAAAAGTAAACGCAATTTTGCAAAAAAATCCACAGACCAAAACAGACTACCCGTGGGGTCAGTGGTCACACGTATATCACATCAGATACATAGCAAAGTTGATCACAGTCCATTGTGAGGCAGTGAAAACTGGGTGCTTCAGACCAGTCAATCAACAATAAGATGGAATACAGCAGATTGTTGGTTGGCATACACTCAGTCCGCATATTATATCTCCTGAGGTAAGCAATAGACTCTTGTTACATTTGTGACTTTATCCAATTTTCTGATGTTTATATCACTAAATCAACACGTCAGCTTCCAAACACTCGGTACAGTGAGTCCTCGCTATACCTTGGGGATGAACTCCTGAGGACCACAATTAAAATCAAAATGATGAATGAAGGGGTCGACTACCCCCATTGACTTTCATCTAATACATGGAAGATGTGTCCCAACAATTGTATCTGTATCTAATTTCACTCGGTGTTTTTACAATAACATCTTACAAAATGCATCTTGGCAGTAATTGACATGTAACATTTACTAGTGATGGTCTGGAAGCTGACACAAATATAAAAAATTTTCACCTCAAGTGCCGGGATTTGAACCCAGTCATCCACTGGACCACGATGGACTAAAAGCTACCCATCCTTAGCTACTAATTGCAACTCAAGGACTCCATGCCCTTGGTGGTCTGGGCTTGTATCACAGCACTCCCAGGTAAAAATTGTTTACACTGATTATATATAGGCTCTGATCTTCAGGTGTTATGTTGCTCCTCTTCACGGTGCACCACTATCACTTACCGAATAATTAAAGAGGCCATAATCTAAAAATGGAGGGCACTTTAATGCAAAAAAAAAAAAAATGGTAACCCAACATGAGGCACAGCAGGGCTGGCACATTTGTGTTTAAAACATGAAAATGTCTGATTCTGCACATTTGTCTGAAAGAATTTATTGAATTTACTTAATATTCTGCAATGATATATACCTGTATTTACTTTTCAAGTAGTAAAGATGTTGGTGAAGATTTTACAAATAATCTAAATACAAAATACAGTAGTCTATAATTAAATTTAATTGAATATTATTTAACGATAAAAGTGAAACGGACGAATTACATTGTACAATGAACTATTGTATGCAGGACTACACAACACCCATTACTGTCACACACTTGGGTAAACTATCCTGAAAAGGATGGGGCCTTTTGTCAATTATAATTTAACTATCAACTTTCTTTTCAAATGAACAGTTAATGAAAAAATTAACACTGGGGCAATGGACAATGAGAACTGCCCCTACTGTCTTCCCCATTATCAAAAGTGAAAGTACGGGAGATAAAATGTGACGTGTTAACCATCAAACTGAAGAGAGCCATAACATTACTGTACTATGTTAACTTCAGCATCGGAGAATAAAGAAAAGCGATGACATACACAAGCAAACTAATTTGAAGATTTATCCTAACTAACAAACACCTATGTCAAGGAGGAGCAAGAAAGCATTACCAAGATCGAAGACGTTGGATATGTTTGTACGTACTTACCGCCCACAGCATGAGTGTGAGTGGTAGAATGCTGGCACAAAAGGCAATGTAGTTTCTTAAAGGAAAGCTTGTTAATTTTTGTTTATGAAGTAAAGTTTCATAAAGGTACAATAATGTGCTTTACTAAAATTTTATGTACTGTATGTAATTTCGAAGCTGTACTGCTCTAACTATCCATTATAACTGGCTCTCCACAAGTGGTTCATCCCAAATCTCCTAGGTTGGTGGAGTCTTAAGTAATGAATATTTTCCTAGTGGGCAATAAAATAAAATTCAGACATAGCAGGTACTCTTGTTACAATGAGATACTTGGTTTTTAGCCATAACCAGAAGCAAAAGACCAATATATATATATATATATATATATGTGTGTCTGTGTGTGTGTGTGTGTGTGAAGACTAAATAACTATATAAAAATGAATATAATGAGCATGTGTACAATACCAAAAATTTACAGATCAGCAGCAGCATGAGCAGAAATACTTGGGTTGTTGATCTCCTCACCGAGCTCCTCCAACAGCTCTTTACGGTATTCATCAAAGCCTCCGTCGATTTCATTAATAGTCTGCTCTTCTATGACCCACAGGTTACAGTTGGTGTCTCGGATCAAGCGCTCGTCGTGAGAGACAATGATCACGCCGCCTTTGTACTCCGAGATGGCCTCGGCAAGGGCGTCGATACTTTCAATGTCCAAGTTGTTGGTGGGTTCATCAAGAATCAGAACATCAGGAGAAGACAGACAAAGTTCAGCCAGAGCCACTCGTGCCTTCTGGCCTCCCGAGAGATCCTTATTCTTAATGGTGTGTGCGTGAGAGGCAAGACCAAATGTGCCGAGGGCTTTCCTGGCCTTCTCGTACTGAAGATTAAAAAGTCTCATTAGATATTCAGATGGAGACTCTTCTGCAGTCAGGTGTTCTCCGGAGTGCTGATCGTACCTACCAATCTTCACACGGTGATTTTTCCGTAATTCTCCTATGGTCGGGGACAGTTCGCCTAATAACAACTTCAAGAATGTTGATTTTCCTACACCATTTGGACCAACAATTGCTATCCGACAATCCATGTCTATACCAAAATCAACTTTCTTAAAAAGTGGCTTATGACCATCATAGTTAAAGCTAACATTATACAATCCCAGAATTGGGGGCTGCAGGGGTGGAGGCTCTGGGAAGTTGAATTTGACAATGTATTCTTGAGGTTTTTCAAGTAACTCAGTGGGTCCGTTTTCTTTCTCCTCTTTCTTGTTTTTGGCACGATTCTTCTCCTGCTTACGAGTGAGCACTTCCTTGGTTTTCTTTTCCTGAAGAGGGACAAGGTGTTAGGGACAAACAATTACTTATTTTCTTTTTAGTTTCATTTTTGTTGTAAAAACTTTAATACGAATGCTTTGCATATATGTATATATATTATTTTTTGCTATTTTTAGTACCTTTCCATTAAAGACAGGATGATAAAAAATAAGACAAAAAATACTGACCCACATTTACCCTCCACTCATTAAGCTGTTCTAAGTGATGTGATTAGGGATGAGGGAATAATAAAAAAATATTAATGAGGGTAAGAGGGCCAGGAGAAGGGGATGGATGAATGAAATTAAAAACTGGGTCCCAAGAGATACCAAACCTTAGAGGATTGGTAAAACAGCCAGAGAATGTTTAGAGTGGAGGACTGTGGTCGCCAACCCTCAGATATGAAGACAGTACTCTGATTGATTGACTGCTGTAAAAGACGTATTCAACTAAGGCATTTCCCTTCCTTAATATGGCCCCAAATCTGGCCGACTCCTATCACTTCACATTGATAGTATATAATACCAAAAGTGAAAGACAAATATTTGAAAGTAAAAAGTACAATATTGTTTCAGGTATGTACTAGTTAAACAAGTCTGTAAACTAAATACTTTAAAGATATGAAAAATCACACCATTTGATCAGTTCAATCGCCTTAAGTTTTCTTGGTAAGCAATGTTTAGCGAAGAATAAAACAAACGCTCGTGACAAAACTTACAGCTTGTTTCTTTGAGGCACCGGAGGCTTTCATATCCTTGATTCGCTTCTCCTGCTTTTCGTACGCCTTTATCTGCTCTTTTCTCTTTTGAACCAACATCTACAAATAATAAAATAACAAAAACATTAAAGATTATAGTTTTTCCCCAGTAAAATAATCTGGTGTTGGCCAAAAATATCCAAAGTGGCATCCCCAAAGTGAAGGGGTTAAAAGTTCCTAACATTCCTTATTACTTGAATGACCTTCCTCCTGGATAAGGGACATAACTAACAAGGGATAAATATTCACAAAAATACTCCTGGAACTGTAGGAAATTTTGTATTAGCTAAATCTTTTCAAGTGTCATTAATCTGCCTAACAGCCCTTCTAGTACAGTACTCCCATACCAGTAGACGAGTACAGTACTCCAGACAACATTAGTGACATCATGGCCACAGGTTGTTCCAAATACCAAGACCACCTTACATCACATCAACAAAAACTTCTCCATTCCTCTTCCTATATGCTGGGTCACTCACACACACACACAGTCACTGGGTCATCTACTTTAGTCCACTCCACTAAAATAATAAGTCATACCTGAGGCATTACTGTCTATGACTATGTAAGACCTTCCAGTGTTAGAACAGAAACCTTTTGTCCTATAAGAAAACCTTCAAGCGTCACATTCTCTTTAAGAACCTTGGTGTGTTACGATTGTGTTTCATCCATTGGAAGATTTAAAACTCAAATGAAGAAAGTCTAATAATTATATATATTGTATCATAATTAGCTATGCCAGTTAAAGTTATTATGAATACGTATACAGATATTTGAGATTTAATGAATGGACAAAGGACCTGTCTAATAATACACTCGCATCACAACTGTACTCGAGCCATCTGTTGTCTTTGCTCTTGTGGGGGATGGGTGTTTGTTTCAAGGACAGACGTACAGTACTATAGCGATAATAATACTATACCATAAGAAACAACAATAGAGGAAAGTGATGCAATGATGTGTAGATATGGATAGGAAACAGGTAAGACAACAAGATGAAATATTTACACACAAATACTCATAACTCATAATTAGTCCAGTACTAACCTTCTTAAACATGGAGTAATTGCCCTTGTAATATTGTAGTTTGTGCATGTCTAAGTGGATAACATCGGTACACACATTGTCAAGGAAGGACTGGTCGTGGGAAACAACCAAAAGAGTTTTCTTCCAACCCTGGAATTTTTGTAAATTTGGATAAATATATACAAAGGAAATACAATATGGGGAAAAGTTCATTAACTTTCATCATGATTTCAAAATACCTAAAGCAGTTGAAAATTTTAGTTTCCAAAAACTTTTAGAACCTAACCTAACCTAACAAACATAATAAAAATATTAAATAATATTACAGGCAACCCCAGCTATGCGGAATCCTGGGTTACGGAAATTCGTCATTATGACAAAAAAATCCACAATACGGACAAAAAACTTGCCCTCGCAGAATTTTGGTAAATTCTTAAAATTTACAAACGTAAAAATTGCGATAAATAACAAAGAAATTCAACAAAATTAAAACAACAATTTGGTGTGGATTCTTGGTGGTAGCTACAAGATGGTTGGAGGGCAGCTCACCTCCTCAGATGCCAGCAACTACCACAACAATGGCACTCCTCAGTTAGAATTCTTTCCCTGGATTGTGTTCAGCTGTGTGTCTGTGTTCGGGACTGTATTTGCCATTAAGGAATTATGGTTAATTTATTAAGATTTTCAGAAGAAAAAATCTTGATAAAGAGGAAAAAATTCACTGAAATTATGAAATATATTTTGTGTGGTAGCTACAAGATGGATGGAGTGTGGCTCACCTAGCAGCCACCACAACAATGGCACTCCTCGGTGTGAATTCTTTCCCCAGTTTTTGTTGTTATGCATCTGTGTTACTATGTACCCTTATTCAAGATGAGAGGAAGAAGACCATCAAGTTTAAGTGAAAGCAGCGATGATAAAAGATTACAGAAAGGAATTACGTTAAACAATAAACATTATGTTTTAAGGTGACTCCCAGTAACTCCCATCGTACCACCTCACCTCACCTCACCACCGCCTGCAGCACTCAACATTGTTTCTGGTGAGCTAAATTCCAGTGCGTGCATTTATTGTCATGTTACATCATGAATAAATCATTGTATGCATCTATTTTCATTCATATATGTGCTTGTGTTACATTTTTGGGCTGCAAACATTTCCGCAGGAACATATCTCGTCATATATACTGGGAATCAATGGGAAAAATAGTTTTGTGATATGGAAAGATTTTCAGGAACAGGACCCTTCCGTAACCCAGGGGATGACTGTAGTAACAACACTAATAATAACAACAAAAACAATAAATAATAATAATACTGTATTAATAATAGTACTAAAAACGACAATAATATTAATAGTTATAAAAAGGTGAGGGGGAAAAACCACCTAACACTTTCTGACAGAGGTAATAATAGGTACTGTCACCTCCTGCTCCATCACAGTACAGTAATGTGTCCCAGCACAAGAGCTCACAACAACACTAGTGGACCTTAAACTTAGGAAAACCTAAATCAAAGTTTAACACAGCCGCCAGCAGCTTCATTTGCATAGACAGTGGCTGCTTCATGAGTGGCTACCATAGCAACACAGCCCAGCCCGGCTCTCACACAAAGAAATGTTTATTCCCTTTTTGACCAAAGATAGTTATTTCCTTTAACCTTTTTTTTTTGTATATTATTGATGTAGGATTGTGAGTGCAGGTAACTGAGTAGAAAAGAAAGGTGAACAAAGTTAAGTATATTTATCCAAAACTATGAGTTGAAAAATAATCATAACATAACTACTCCCAGCTGATCCTGGTAACCCTCGCTGGTGTACGGATAAATGTTTATTGATTGAACTGGCAAAGGTGGGTTGGGTACTTTCAGTGTGAGTGAGAGAGAAATGAGAGAGAACACAAAAATTGTATTAAACAACTCAAATTCAATTTACAAGTGCTACAGAAAAACCTTACCTGCAGATAATTGTCTAACCAAATGACGGCGTTCAAGTCCAGATGGTTGGTAGGTTCGTCAAGCATGAGCAGAGTTGGTTCCATGAAGAGGGCGCGGGCTAGGGACACTCTCATTCTCCAACCGCCTGAGAAGTTCTTGGTCGCTCTGCCCTGCATCTCACGGGTAAACCCAAGACCGGCCAAAATCCTGAAATATCATTCGTTTTAGATGTTTACCATTTCTGTCTCTACATATCATATAAAGTCCCTAGGTTTACACATTAAAATAACAAATGGCATTTTCAAAGTTCTAAACATTATCACACTCAGCTACGTACACAAGCACAACAATACACAGTACAGTACTTTGTTCACACAAGATTCTGTCAACATTAATGTAAGACTGCATTGTTTTATGTAAGGTTAAAAAATGTGATTAAAATAACACAGCATTTATGAAATTTGCAAAATTAAGTCACGACACAATGCAAATAGTGTCTATTGGTCAGGGCTGTGGAGTCGGAGTCGAGGAGTCGGAGGAAATTTCGGCTTGTGGAGTCGGAGTCGGTAAAATTTGAACATTTTCTAAAAGCCATTTGAACAAGTTATAATCAAGATATCAAATTTTGGTTAACAGATCCTTAAGTAGAACATTCAGGAGTACCTATACTGAAATTTTGAACAAAATCCATTTTTTGGCCGAAATGACGAAAATTGTAAGTCTATAGCCTTAAAGGATTTTTGGCCAAAAATACGTTTTCTCTCTGAACTAAAATTTAATGTGCCTAACTATTTAAGTACATTCAGAATAATACACAAGCACCAAGAAATGACCTCGAAAACCCATAAGTGGCGAGTAATTAGCATTGCAAAAGTAATTAAAATATTCTAAAAATCATTTGAACATTTTCTAAAAGCCATTTGAACAAGTTATAATCAAGATATCAAATTTTGGTTAACAGATCCTTAAGCAGCACATTCAGGAGTACCTATACTGAAATTTTGAACAAAATCCATTTTTTGGCCGAAAATGACAAAAATTGTAAGTCTATAGCCTTAAAGGATTTTTGGCCAAAAATACGTTTTCTCTCTGAACTAAAATGTAATGTGCCTAACTATTTAAGTACATCCAGAATAATACACAAGCACCAAGAAATGACCTCGAAAACCCATAAGTGGCGAGTAATTAGCATTGCAAAAGTAATTAAAATATTCTAAAAATCATTTGAACATTTTCTAAAAGCCATTTGAACAAGTTATAATCAAGATATCAAATTTTGGTTAACAGATCCTTAAGCAGCACATTCAGGAGTACCTATACTGAAATTTTGAACAAAATCCATTTTTTGGCCGAAATGACGAAAATTGTAAGTCTATAGCCTTAAAGGATTTTTGGCCAAAAATACGTTTTCTCTCTGAACTAAAATTTAATGTGCCTAACTATTTAAGTACATCCAGAATAATACACAAGCACCAAGAAATGACCTCGAAAACCCATAAGTGGCGAGTAATTAGCATTGCAAAAGTAATTAAAATATTCTAAAAATCATTTGAACATTTTCTAAGCCATTTGAACAAGTTATAATCAAGATATCAAATTTTGGTTAACAGATCCTTAAGCAGCACATTCAGGAGTACCTATACTGAAATTTTGAACAAAATCCATTTTTTGGCCGAAATGACGAAAATTGTAAGTCTAAAGCCTTAAAGGATTTTTGGCCAAAAATACGTTTTCTCTCTGAACTAAAATTTAATGTGCCTAACTATTTAAGTACATCCAGAATAATACACAAGCACCAAGAAATGACCTCGAAAACCCATAAGTGGCGAGTAATTAGCATTGCAAAAGTAATTAAAATATTCTAAAAATCATTTGAACATTTTCTAAAAGCCATTTGAACAAGTTATAATCAAGATATCAAATTTTGGTTAACAGATCCTTAAGCAGCACATTCAGGAGTACCTATACTGAAATTTTGAACAAAATCCACTTTTTTGGCCGAAATGACGAAAAATTGTAAGTCTATAGCCTTAAAGGATTTTTGGCCAAAATACTTTTTCTCTCTGAACTAAAAATTTAATGTGCCTAACTATTTAAGTACATCCAGAATAATACACAAGCACCAAGAAATGACCTCGAAAAACCCATAAGTGGCGGTAATTAGCATTGCAAAAGTAATTAAAATATTCTAAAAATCATTTGAACATTTTCTAAAAGCCATTTGAACAAGTTATAATCAAGATATCAAATTTTGGTTAACAGATCCTTAAGCAGCACATTCAGGAGTACCTATACTGAAATTTTGAACAAAATCCATTTTTGGGCCGAAAATGACAAAAATTGTAAGTCTAAAGCCTTAAAGGATTTTTGGCCAAAAATACGTTTTCTCTCTGAACTAAAATTTAATGTGCCTAACTATTTAAGTACATCCAGAATAATACACAAGCACCAAGAAATGACCTCGAAAACCCATAAGTGGCGAGTAATTAGCATTGCAAAAGTAATTAAAATATTCTAAAAATCATTTGAACATTTTCTAAAAGCCATTTGAACAAGTTATCAAGATATCAAATTTTGGTTAACAGATCCAAGCACATTCAGGAGTACCTATATTGAAATTTTGAACAAAATCCATTTTTTGGCCGAAATGACGAAAATTGTAAGTCTAGCCTTAAAGGATTTTTGGCCAAAAATACGTTTTCTCTCTGAACTAAAATTTAATGTGCCTAACTTTTTAAGTACATCCAGAATAATACACAAGCACCAAGAAATGACCTCGAAAACCCATAAGTGGCGAGTAATTAGCATTGCAAAAGTAATTAAAATATTCTAAAAATCATTTGAACATTTTCTAAAAGCCATTTGAACAAGTTATAATCAAGATATCAAATTTTGGTTAACAGATCCTTAAGCAGCACATTCAGGAGTACCTATACTGAAATTTTGAACAAAATCCATTTTTTGGCCGAAATGACAAAAATTGTAAGTCTATAGCCTTAAAGGATTTTTGGCCAAAAATACGTTTTCTCTCTGAACTAAAATTTAATGTGCCTAACTATTTAAGTACATCCAGAATAATACACAAGCACCAAGAAATGACCTCGAAAACCCATAAGTGGCGAGTAATTAGCATTGCAAAAGTAATTAAAATATTCTAAAAATCATTTGAACATTTTCTAAAAGCCATTTGAACAAGTTATAATCAAGATATCAAATTTTGGTTAACAGATCCTTAAGCAGCACATTCAGGAGTACCTATACTGAAATTTTGAACAAAATCCATTTTTTGGCCGAAATGACGAAAATTGTAAGTCTATAGCCTTAAAGGATTTTTGGCCAAAAATACGTTTTCTCTCTGAACTAAAATTTAATGTGCCTAACTATTTAAGTACATCCAGAATAATACACAAGCACCAAGAAATGACCTCGAAAACCCATAAGTGGCGAGTAATTAGCATTGCAAAAGTAATTAAAATATTCTAAAAATCATTTGAACATTTTCTAAAAGCCATTTGAACAAGTTATAATCAAGATATCAAATTTTGGTTAACAGATCCTTAAGCAGCACATTCAGGAGTACCTATACTGAAATTTTGAACAAAATCCATTTTTGGCCGAAATGACGAAAATTGTAAGTCTATAGCCTTAAAGGATTTTTGGCCAAAAATACGTTTTCTCTCTGAACTAAAATTTAATGTGCCTAACTATTTAAGTACATCCAGAATAATACACAAGCACCAAGAAATGACCTCGAAAACCCATAAGTGGCGAGTAATTAGCATTGCAAAAGTAATTAAAATATTCTAAAAATCATTTGAACATTTTCTAAAAGCCATTTGAACAAGTTATAATCAAGATATCAAATTTTGGTTAACAGATCCTTAAGCAGCACATTCAGGAGTACCTATACTGAAATTTTGAACAAAATCCATTTTTTGGCCGAAAATGACAAAAATTGTAAGTCTAAAGCCTTAAAGGATTTTTGGCCAAAAATACGTTTTCTCTCTGAACTAAAATTTAATGTGCCTAACTATTTAAGTACATCCAGAATAATACACAAGCACCAAGAAATGACCTCGAAAACCCATAAGTGGCGAGAAATTAGCATTGCAAAAGTAATTAAAATATTCTAAAAATCATTTGAACATTTTCTAAAAGCCATTTGAACAAGTTATAATCAAGATATCAAATTTTGGTTAACAGATCCTTAAGCAGCACATTCAGGAGTACCTATACTGAAATTTTGAACAAAATCCATTTTTTGGCCGAAATGACAAAAATTGTAAGTCTATAGCCTTAAAGGATTTTTGGCCAAAAATACGTTTTCTCTCTGAACTAAAATTTAATGTGCCTAACTATTTAAGTACATCCAGAATAATACACAAGCACCAAGAAATGACCTCGAAAACCCATAAGTGGCGAGTAATTAGCATTGCAAAAGTAATTAAAATATTCTAAAAATCATTTGAACATTTTCTAAAAGCCATTTGAACAAGTTATAATCAAGATATCAAATTTTGGTTAACAGATCCTTAAGCAGCACATTCAGGAGTACCTATCAGGGCTGTGGAGTCGGAGTCGGAGTCGAGTCGGAAAATTTCGGCTTGTGGAGTCGGAGTCGGAGTCGGTAAAATTGTCCAGACTCCGACTCCGACTCCGACTGAAGCTATTCTGTTCCTAAGAACAAATATATGAACTCAGGCATATTCATTGCAGTGATTCCACTGATCCCACTAATTTTCTTAAATTATTAAAAGAATTTATTTCCATTTTATAAGCATTATTATGAATTTATTGTAGCAGGCACAGTATAGCACTATAATTTTGGACGATAGTCTCTTCTTTACCATTTGAAATTTTGAATTATATCAAATTTTGTTTCGTTGAAAACTGCACAGAGGCTCTCAGCTACAAAACAATTAGCTACAACCTGTTTTTGGTGAGATTAAGGCAAATTTAATTTAATAACTTAATCATGTAAGGTTTATCCATTTTCCTTAATAAGGTATTCATTTCTTTAATGTACATAAATATATAACTTTACTGTACTTTAAAAGGAATTGTAGGATCATCATTTAGATCCACATCAGATTATGAGCTTAAACAAAATTCACATGCTGAGATCGAACTTTTAGATATACATGTAAATGGTGTTTTCTAGTTAATATCTTGAATTCTTAATAAATTTATTTTTCTTTTGATTGAAACTTTGAAAGTCAAGCCTATCATCTTTTTGTAGTTCTTAAATATCGTCCAGATCATTAATAAAGCTGTAGCAGTATAGCCACGGTGTTTTACTTTTTACCTATGCAGGTTACAACATACAAATTACAATTAGGATGGTAGAAATAGTTGTTACAAATAGGCCAAGGAGTCGGAGTCGGAAGCATAAAAATTTTGTCTTCGACTCCACAGCCCTGCTATTGGTTTTAACTTGCCTCAGCAATTCTCCCACCATGTTTTTTCATTTATGTATACAGTACTTCAAATGACTGTATGAGACCTAACCTTAAACATAAAATGTCTACAGCTTATAGATAAATGTTAAATACTGAAATGTCTAAAACAGTTTTCCTCTGATTTTTGTCACATTGTTCTTGTTCCCTTTTTACCACTAGCAAGAGAACTGCTGGAAAATGTAGGGAAGAGCCCTGGGATTATCCAGCCATAAAACTTACTTCAATATATCTGATGGCAACTGTAGACCCCATACCATCGGGTCATCAAGTTCAGCCCCCAAAACATGGAAAAATGGCTGGAAAATGGTGATAACAAGCTTACCATTTTAATATCACAAGAATGGCAAAAAAGGGGTGTGGGTGATGGTGGGGTAATCAGTTGATGTACAGTTGTGAGATAAACATGCACAAGCCTCTCAACTGTACAGGTATTTCATATTGCAGTTTGTAATAACAACATACCTCCTGGCCTTGGGCTCTGCCTTATCTGCTCCAATAGCCTTCAGCTCATCGTAAACATCTTGTAAACGATCCATATCCACCTCTTTGTTTTTCTTCTTCATGTTTCCCTCATGTTCGTCTTTCTCCTTCAGAAGATCACTGCGTTTCTTGTCCGCTTGGAGGACGACATCAATGGCTCGAGTGTCGTCGGCGATTACCTCCTGTGAAATCATCAAGTTAGTGAGCATTTGATGTACTGTACAATAAGATCTAAAGAATAAGCAATACCTGCTAGCTGCACCGTACGTCCAAAGGACATCCAAGACACTTTTCAGTGCTGATATAAAATACAAGCTGAAGGAAAGTACAAATTACAGTCTTTTTATATAAAAGAAAACCTGGATTAACTCTTCAACCTTTAACAAGAAATAAATGTATACACAAAAAGAGGAGGTTGCATTAGCCTAAAATAACAATTTATGAGTTTATCCCCTCCTTGGTACTTGAAAGAATAATAATAATAATAAAAAAAATGACTAAGCTTTTAAATTCACAGACGGCCATTATCTGTAGCTGAAGTAACCTTACATCATCACCATCCACATCTGTCAGTAACTACTAGATAATGCTCATATGATAATCTCCTGATGGTGAAGTTCTTGCAGACATTCCTCAAGACATGTTTATCAACTTTATCAAAAAAACCCAAATAACAAAAATACTTCTCAAACAAAATAGTCTTATTATCTGACAAATAGCAAATACGGTACAGAACTTTTAATCCACAAGGCAGAGAAGGACAGCTAAGACTTCTCCTTCACCTGTTAAGTTTCCTGACCACACCTACAGTAACACACGATCAACTGGCTCAGAAGAGACTCAATAAGGTTTGGCCACTTTATTGCCCATTCTTGACTGACTTATGGAAGGTCTCTTAAAGATGTAATTATTGGTCTGTCAAAATTTAAAATATAAAGGCAAGACTTACCTGTTCACAGTAAAGAACATCGATATTTGGAGGAATGTTGAGAGCCCTGGACTGTATGTGACGTAGTAGAGTGGTCTTGCCATGGCTGAAAATGATCATAATGGTAATAAATTTCCTGGGATCTTATGTTCCTCTCTAACACATGATGTAGAGCACCCAGAGGTGCCACCATGAGCCACAGGCATAGCTTCCACTCACTAATAGTTTACACTTGTTATGAACTCTCCACTGTTCCAGCTATGTATCTAATACAGTGAGCATTACAGTACAGCCAATCCAACAGTATTGAGTCCCCAGGTGTCTAAAAGATTATGAAACATCAGGTAAAGACCAACTCAACTCAGCCGATACATTAGTATGATGGAGGTTATTGCTTGTTTTCTATTCCATCAGAACCTGGAGAGTTGATAGTTTTGGGTTGGCTGTACATATGTGAAAATATACACAGTACAGTACAGTACTTATCACTTATATTCAAGCATTATAAAACTGCCTACTCATCTGAAGCTACTACTTAACTGACCCGGTCGCAATAACAATACAGTGATATCTCCATTAGCCGGAACAATTGGTGCAGAGCACTTCCGGGAATGAGGGATTTCTGGGTAACAAGACGATTCTATCAAACCCGGAAAAAAATCCCTCATCCCCGAAATTTTCCGGGTTATGGAAAAATGTTCTCGGAAGTTCCAGAAATTGCCCATTACATCATTTCTCGAACCCGGGAAAAAATCCTTCATCCCCGGAATTTTCCAGGGAACGGAAAATTTTTATCGGAATTTCCAGAAAATGCGCCTGATTTTTTCTCTCTCAAACCCGGAAAATATCCTCCGTCCCCGTAATTTTCCGGAAAATGTGCCCCTCGGAAAATCGTTCCCAACGCCGGAATTTCCTGGAAAATTCCGACTATCGGAGAGTTCTGGGTTTGAGGTATTCCGGCTAACGGAGATATTACTGTTTTGAAATTATCCAGTTTCGTTAAAAGATTCTCTGTATTGCTAACTTAAATTGCATAAAAAAATCATTTAAGAAACCCAATTGAGATGGGTTAAGCGTTATGCTCTGGAGAAACACCTCAACGGACATATGAAGAAATGGATTGATGGATCCCCTTTCTATACCTCAAGCCAGTCAGCTGCGTGGAAGCAGGACACAATAAACAACTTGGGCTAAAGAAAATCTAAACAATTCAGGAAACCAAAATGATACTGTATATACAAATTTAACTTCAATGATGATTAAATATGTATGCAGAGACAGGATATAAAGTCATCTAAGCAGAGTATGAAGGATTAATTACACTTACCCATTAGGACCAACCAGACCATATCTTCGCCCATTTGCAATCATGAGTGAAGCATTTGTGAACAGTGCCTTGCCCTTGGCTGATATACTGAAGTTCTCAATCTGGAAAGAAGATGAGAATATTGTAATGAACTATGAATAACACACTTTTTCATGTTGCAGGATATGAGGAGGAGGAGGAGGTGTTTTGTTGATAGTGATGCAGCCTCCAGAGACAAACAGAATACTGTAGAGAATTTCACCACTAAAATGGGTTAGGGGGAGTTGTATGATAACCCTTCGATGGGTACTGTCATGGCATCTGCAGCAATTGTATCATTTAGCAGTCAGTAACAAAGGGTGCTTAAACATTACATTGCAAGCCAGTGTTAGTGCAAAAAATGTGAAGTTGTGTGTTGCCTGTCATCATCAATCATCAATCTTTTACAGCCATTTTCCACACTTCCATGGGTTATTATGTCTAAGTGGGGATGATGTCAAGATATGTAGGAAGAAACACAATAACAGAGCAGGGTTAAGAAATGTACTGTAGCAATGGAGCAACTCGCACCATAACTCTCATAGATCTACCTCCGTATTAAATACCAAACAGCAGTGACTTGACGCATGATAATGGTGGCCATCAAAATACATCAGTGTCCAAAACCTCTGGTGAATTTGTGCATCAAAATTTGTTAAGTGTGTGAGATATGGATACTTAAAATTCAACTGTATGGGCTGATAGGTACATTCATTATAGCTACTGTACATGTTAGTTACTGCATAGAACATATAATTGAAAATCTATAAATTCATATAGTAATAATTTATCTTAAAATATTCAAATTAACTAGAACATTCACTCTCTGACAGGTTACACCTAAATATTGCAATAATTCCAATTTTACAGGTGAAAGATAGGACGACTGTTTCTAATATGGAATTATATATATTTTTTCATCTTAAATAAAAGCTACTGTTTTATACCAGAACCTTCTTACCTTAATGTCCACAGCATTTTCTAACTGTGATTGCTGTTTATCAGATTTTTCTGCCTGGGAGACAGAGAATGTGTCATCAAGGGCAGAGGAGCCGTGTCCTCCCTTTTTCAACATGGCTTCCATTTGTCTCTCGTACTCCAACTGTTGCTTTATCTTCTTCCTCTCCTTGTGCGACAACTTCTTTAATGCTTCTTTTTCTGTTTAAAAAAATTATTGCTTTAGCACTTTGATTCTAAATTTGTATACGGAATTCCCCTTCCTAAAACTGTAAATTTATGCTCATGGCCAAAGACTACTGTACGTTCTAAGGTGACAAACTTCTGTTGTAAGAGAGCACACACACAAGACACTATTTTGTGGCCTGAACAGACTATCTGTTTAGTTTTCTTATTACCTTAAGAGTTATTGCCAATCTTTCTTCTGCTGGCACACATTTTCTCATACTGGTGACTTCATGAGAAATTGCTAGTCTTAAATCCTCATGGAGCAAAATTGACCCCTGAGCAATGATCAGATGTACCCAGTACAGTATAGTACTTTTTTTATGCTTCATTCTTCTGCTGCTTAGCAGTAAATCACAATCACATGCCACATCTTTGAAGTCCATGTTAAAACTGCTGGCAGAAGCTCAAAGTAGCTTGTGTATGGGGCCTTTAAGTTAGGAATATAAGTGATTTTTCTGTGTTGGTGACAGAAATTAACTGTAATTTTATTTATCCAGAAAGACCCCGAGCATTAACAAATGTCAGAAGATTAAATGGTGTTTGTATCATCCACCATTACACTCATTATGTCCTTTTTTCACCACCAGGTGTGCCTTTAATACATTAACACAAGACATATCAGTAAAGACTTCATCAACAAAGGGTCTTTATTCTAGACCTATATCCAAAAATTATTTTCTAATAAAACAAATCAACCAATTTTCAAGAGAGAGAGAGAGAGCGAAAAAAATGGTAATTCTGTAGTGCCGCACCAACACTAAGTATACCGGGCACCTTATGTACCTGTATATTCATTTTAATAGTTTTGCTTTTACTGAATTTTTTATTTGATATACCCTGTAGTTTTATCTGAAGAAGAAAAGTTGCATTTATCCAATTAACACTTTATTCTTTCATATGATATCAGATCAAATCCCGGGACATTAAATCACTACGTGTATTTAATATTTAGCTTAATTAACCATGCTTAATACAGAACAATACTGTACACTGTTTTAGTTTACCGGGTAAGTGTCATTATAAACTGACCAGGTCTGGTACGGGAAGCCCTGAGATGCCCGTGTCAACACCTCAACATCTTCCAGTGCTGCAAAAATTCCCTAAGTGGTTCCTTCCCATGAGTCTGACATCTAAAGTATTACCGTAACTTCACATAATGATTAAATACCCTAACACCGGTCCAACGAAATACCCAAAAGTACCCAAAAGTATATTAAATCAGGGTAAAATCTTGACGAATATATGTTTTACATCAATAAAACCTGATTAATGCTGTTTTCATTGAAATGTAGTCAAAATAATGAAATAATAAACAGCGAAAAATGCTAAATTCCAAAGAGTCACCTATCCAAAATGGAGATATACTTACCGATGTTTCTGTTACTTTGGGGTATTTAACATAGCCGTAGGATTTACTTTTTGTTAGGTTAGGTTAGTGAAGTGCATCACGATGGATCTGAGTTATCTCCCTTGTTCACGAACTCTTTGGAATTTAGCGTTCGCCAATACTGAAAGTTTTTCGCTGTTTATTATTTCATCTTACAAATTATTTTTACAAAATTACACTAAAAATATTATTAAACATGTTTTGTGTATGTATAACAGATATTTGTTAAGGTTTGACCCTTATTTGCTATACTTTTGGGTACTTTGTGGCTCCCCCCTAACACTACCTGGAGGGGGGCGGGTTAGGTAACTATGATGCCAGTTGTACTATACAGGATACAATAAATCATTTCTTAAGGCAAATATATACTGTGTAACTTTTTGAGGATCACAACAACTTTCCTTCAATATACAAGATCTTTAAAGCCAAGATTAAATTTGACATTCCTTGCACCAGGTTTACAAGACAGCAAATAAAGAACATACAATAATGATCATACTAGGAATAAAATAAACCTGGTAATTATTCTGTAAACAATAGCAAATGATTTAGACAGGTTTTCACGCTAATACAGTAGTGTTCAAAGTTTGGGGCAATGCATACAGTAATTAGAGTTATGAGTATTGGCCCCACTGGTAGGGTTTCGAAGAGAGAAAATGTGGAATTAAAAACATAACAAGGCCCATACCTAACCTAACCTAATCCAACCAAAATTTCCCAAGCATAATACAGGAACTAGCTACTGTACACAATTCTTATTTTATCCCGAAGCGAAAAATTAAGAGAGGTTCGTTCAGATGCCAAGAATACACTAACCTGCCAGACGTTTCTTCTTTAACTTCATTTCTTCACTCTCCTCCTCTTCCTCTTCTTCGGACTCCTCTGCCGGGGGTGAGGCCAAGACCTGGGCCGGCGGGGGTGGTGAGGGGGTCGTCGTCACCTCCATAGGCTCGGGTGTTGTTACCTTCTCCTCTTCCTTCTGTTTCTCTTTTCCGCTATTAGGTTTCTCCTCTACTTCCTCTCTATCTACATCTTCTGGTTTCTTCTCTTCCACTACTTCCATTTCCTCTTTCTTCTTTGCTACTTCCTCTTCCATCTTTGCTACTTCCTCTTTTTTCTTCACCACCTCCACTTCCTTTTCCTTCTCTTCTTCTTCCTCTTCCATGTCTTCGTCTTCTGCGTCAGCCTCTTCGTCCTCCTCTTCCTCCTGAATCTTCTTTCTTTCTTTCTTTTTCTTCTGTTTTGCTTTGAAGTCCATCTGTTTAGACATCTCGTCATCGGTTCCGTCTTCCAAGTCCATGTTTATCATCTTATCCGCCAGTACATCCTCGTCATCATCGGACCAATCGTCTTTCTTCCCCTTCTTCTTCTTATCTTTCTTCTTCTTCATGTGTTTAATTGTCACTTTCTCTTTGGTGGTTTCTTCGTCACTTTCGCCGGCAGGGTTTGTGATGTCTTCGACTACCTTGTCTTCCTCGCTCCAGTCTTCTCCTTTCCCTTTTCCTTTCTTCTTTTTCCCCTTCTTCTGCATTGCTTCGTTCTTTTTACTCACAGGTGGTTCGTCTTCATCATCACTTACGTCGTTCTTCGCCTTATCTTCCTCGCTCCAGTCTTCTCCTTTCCCTTTTCCTTTCTTCTTTTTCCCCTTCTTCTGCATTGCTTCGTTCTTTTTACTCACAGGTGGTTCGTCTTCATCATCGCTTACGTCGTTCTTCGCCTTATCTTCCTCGCTCCAGTCTTCTCCTTTCCCTTTTCCTTTCTTCTTTTTCCCCTTCTTCTGCATTGCTTCGTTCTTTTTACTCACAGGTGGTTCGTCTTCATCATCACTTACGTCGTTCTTCGCCTTATCTTCCTCGCTCCAGTCTTCTCCTTTCCCTTTTCCTTTCTTCTTTTTCCCCTTCTTGTGCATTGCTTCGTTCTTTTTACTCACAGGTGGTTCGTCTTCATCATCACTTACGTCGTTCTTCCCCTTTCCTTTCTTCTTCTTTCCCTTCTTCTCTTCCATGTCTATGGCTGGTGTCTTAACATTATCTTCCTCATCACTCACATCATTCTTGGTTCTACCTTTCTTCTTCTTACCTTTCTTCTTATCATCTACTTCCACTAGTTGGCTCTTCACTAGTTCCTCATCATCACTTATCTCATTTTTATTCTTTCCTTTCTTCTTTTTATTTTTCTTCTGTACAGCTGTCACACTTTCCTCTTCACTGTCCTGTACATTACCCGTTACTTTCTTCTCTTCCTCCGCATCAGAGCCCCAATCTCCCTTGTTCTTACCCTTCTTGCCTTTCTTGGGTGGCATCCTGGTAGCCAATTAAAGATGTTATGTAGTCTGTAAGGAGGTAAACTTAACAAATTTGTGGTATTATGCGGCGGCCACCTCTCTCTACATGTGGACCAGGAGAGACCAGCCACCTTAAGGGATTACAACTATAACTATTGTCATACATAAAGTTTTATATAAACAACAAATATGTAATACGTATCTAAAATTATATCCAGTTTTTATTTATGTATAATTAAATAACTTTTATAATTATATTCATGTAATGTATATCTATTATAATTTAAAGGGATGTTGAGAGAGAAGTTATATATTAATGGTCCTTATCATTCTCCGATTATCTGCTTTAAATTAACACGAATGACGCAATAAATGTGAGACTAAATATCTGTATGAAATTATGTACTCACTTTATTCACTAAATAAATGGTTTTATCTTTTAATTTTACAAAAGAAATCAGAAATATGGGTATACTAATAATAACACAATAATAAATGACAAATTTGAGGTTTTTATGGTATTCAGTGGGTAATACAGTACTGTAGTGAGTGGCTAATGTATTTTATTGTTTTCATTGTGTGTGGATCAGTGATGTCAAAGAAAACAGTGAGCAACAAAATGTACTTTCTTCAAATTCACTTTTGATTTATTTATAACTATATATTTAATTAAACTCCATTTTATATTTAAGCAATTTTATTGCACTTTTAATATATATATATATATATATATATATATATATATATATATATATATATATATATATATATATATATATATATATATATATATATGTGCAAGTAAATCACTGTAGTACAACCAGAGAGTAGTTTTAAGTACCTAAGTACAGCATTGGGGAATGACTAGTTTTAGAATAAGACCTGACATAGCAAGCTGGCGTAACGCTTAAAATATTAATAGTTTGAAACCCAAATTTGCTTTTGAGTGGTACCCTACACCAGGTGTCAAACTCATGGCCCGCGGGCCAAATGTGGCCCTTGGGAGGGTCAGGTGTGGCCTGCAGATGACGGTAAAATTTATCATCCCGTGAAATTATGAAAAAAAAGTAGATATAATCATGTTTATTTAGTAAAATGAATTTTACATACATAAGACTAGACAAATCCAAATGAGGTATTCCTGGTAAGCCAGGTAAGGCAATGTGTGAAGCTGTAAACTTCAATCCTGCAAATATGTGACATAGCACTTGTGTTGGCCCTGAAGAGGGTAACTAAAATAAGAATTGGCCCTCGAAAGGTTTAGAGTTTGACACCACTGCCCTACAGTGTGAGCTGCAGGAGGGTTTAATGTTCTTTTCAACAGATTATGTTGGCTAGAGACAATTTAAGGTCGGGGTACAGTACTAAAATTTAGCTGAGGTAGCCTTAAGATTTACTACGGTGTTCAGTGGTTGATGACATGTTACGGGGAGGGGGAGGCACAACCCCCCCCCCCCCAAAAAAAAACTCCAAACATCTAATTTTCAACAATATGTAACTAATAAGAAATAAGTATTTTTTTATTGAGTGCCATTACCTGTGCTACATACTATACAAATGTCAAGTGTTATATATGCATTATAATCTACAATTTACAAGAAATACTATTTCCAGATTAATGACTCACAAATCAATATTATCCATGTATATATATATATATATATATATATATATATATATATATATATATATATATATATATATATATATATATATATATATATATATATATATATATATATCTTGATAAAATCACACGGGAAAAGGGAAACAACGGATTTTATCAAGATTTATCTTATCCACAGGTTGTGTTTGATCAGCCTTGACCCAAATATATGTGTGTAAGACAGTGTAGCTCGCTTTACATGGTGAACAAATACGTCTTCAGTGGGTGGTAGGCTCCAAAGGCCCTTCTCTCTGACATACAGGTTTGCCCTGAGTATGTTCAGGTTTTTATATTTACCATTACCAGTTTGATTGACTTAGACATCAGACATAAAATTCTGGGCAACACTGATGACTTCTTGAACTGGTTCCGTTGTTATATTTGGACTGACTTTCAAGCTGCTGACACACTTAAATTAGTTATTGTTAGATGTCGAGATTCGCTGTACCATTTATGAACAAAATCTCCTTTCATATTAATGCATAATCTTACTTATCAAATATAATATCAGATGTCTCAGTTGGAAAGATGCTGATCAAACTACTGTTGCCGTCCACGATAAGACACCACAACAAACGTGACAAGAAAGAAATAAACTGCCTAGCTATTTTGTTTTCCCAATTCAACCCAGCCATTTTAACTCCCCAACTCTATCACTGATAGACTATCAGCATCCTGTTCCTCGCAACGTAGTTTCAATATTTTAAACACAATTTCGTAGAGTTATCCACCAAATCTTGTATCATTGTCACAGAAAACAAATATATTTGTATTTTATAGAAAACGTAAATACTTAACTCTCAAAGGGTTAACCCGGGAAAATTCTCTTCCTGGGGTCGCCTCTAACACCTCGTGTGTACTAAAGTATAATAAAGCTAAAATTAAAGAAGTTAAGCAGAGGTACATATTCAAAAGCTATATTTTATGATAAATAGTTTATATTTAGACGATGTAGCTAAAAATAATAAGTTTTAATAGTAAAGTTTTAGTATATATCAAAGTAAATATAAATTAAAACTCAGTTAATGATGACATGTCAAATAACACTTAAAATAGAAAGGAAAATTACCTCAAATGATAGAAGTAAATGGAATAATATAATATTTTAAGAGAAAGACATACAAACTGAATATTTGAGTACGTATCTTGTCAGGTCGAGCTTGTGGTAGCAGGGGTCCAAGAAGTTGTGGGTGGAGGAACATGGCCAATGCAGCGAGCTTACCCAGCTGGGGGATCTGGGGGAGGGGGGGGGGGTGCTGTAAGCCTCCCCAGATATTTTTTTTTGTTTAAATCTGACCAATATCATGGTTATTTTGAGGCCATTTTAATGCCATGTGTACTTGATATTAGGAAAGATTCCGAAGTAAATAGTTAATACTTTTTACTGTACAAAAATGCCTGAGTACAATACTGCATTCAAGAAAAAGTATTGGAATGTTCTGGTGAAAGGGGGGTCCGGACCCCCAGTAATCCCCTGGATCCGCCCTTGGATAGACCAACAGTAAGGAAAAGTATCACATAGCCCCAACCTGGCCACGAAATAATATTAACGTAGGTCAAATGTGAAAAGAATTTAAGTCTGTATATTGACAACGAACTAAAAATTCTAAGACCAGTGTGAGAATAAACTACTAGAATTTATACAAAGATCGTTCATGCACCTTCATAACGCTCTTACTCTTGACCTTTGTACTCTTCACCACCAACACTTGGGCGGTCGGTCACTTCAGACGCCCCGGGCACACACCTCTTTACACAACACCCCAACACAGACTGATCTTAGAAACAAAGAAGGTCTCTAAGGAACGCCACACGCTCATGACGTCATGTTTATAGGATCTTGTTATTGGCTCAGGCCTACGACACTCACACTGTCATTGGTCAGCCCTCCCAGGCACTCATGGTTTACAGCGGGAACACACAGTCTTTTCGGGCGTTATGGCGGGAAATTATTGTCCAAGTTGAATTTTCATACAGATTTTCTCTACATGACATAATTTACCCTAAAAAACGACTCTGTTACATCGTTTATATAGGCTATCCTGTGTCTGTCTCTCTGTCTAATTATATTTTTTCTGTCTGCCTATATATTTGGCTGTCTGTCCATATTTGTTTGTCTACCTATATCTGTCTGTCTGCCTATATCTGTTTGTGTACTTGTCTATATCTGCTTGTCTGTCTGTCTGCTGATGTATGTCTGTATGTCTGTTTGTCTGTATGTCTGTTTTCTACCGATATATGAGTTAGCATCTTTTACAATCTTATAAAAGTTGTAATAATATTGATGATATTTTCCTCCTATATCGCCCCTATATAACAATTGCCTTCTCCATAACAACGATTAACCAAACCTAACCAAACCTAACCTAACCTAATCTAACCTAACCAAACCTAATCTACCTTAACAGGAGGTCGCATCTAATTGTCTGACCGAAGCTTAAGATGGAGCAACAAGATGGTGTTAAAGTTACCCTGAGACTCTACCTTAACTAGATCCCTTTCACTTAGTACCATTTAAGGGACAAAATTACTTCACAGAATCTTTTAAGAATCCCTATTAAAGGACCTTAGGTTAAAATATATATATATATATATATCTATAAACTGATCATTGAATTTTAGGTCCTTATCAATTAATTCTACCACCTTGAAATACTAAACAAAACAAATTCTACTTGAACTTGAGCGTCAAATAGATGAGTTCTTTTGTCAACAGTTACAGGGGAGAAATAAAACTGAACGTAGAAACTTTTTTTTGAGAACTCGAGGAAGGACGCAGGCAGGAGGCAGTAATGTATGGATATGTTAATAGCGGCTTTCATCTAAGTGATAGATACACGCCCTATTCATTCCCTGAGTACACACGGCAAACTCTCGCGAAAGCTCTCTAATGAAATTCATTAATGGCTAAAACAACTAAAGCCTTTTATCACGGCTGGATCTTCTTCCTCCTCCTCGCCCTCCTCCTCCTGCTGCCCCTCGCCCTCCTCCTCTTCATCCCTCTACCTTCCTTAAATCCCTCCCTTCCCCCTTCCCTCCCTCCCTCCCTCCCTTTCTCCCTATCGTCCCTATACTTTTACCCCCCTTTTCTCCCTCGCGTCCGTTTCCCTTTTCTTTTTCCTCCCGTCATCCGTTGTCCTCTTCTTCCTTTCCTCCCACCTTTAGTCCTCCTCTTTCCCCCCCTTCCTTTGTTGTCCTCCTCTTTCTTTCCGCCCTCCCTTCGTCCTCCTCCTCCTCCTCTTCCCTATACCTTTGTCTTCCCCCATTCTCTTCCCCCATTTTCCTCTTCTCTGGAGCGGTGGGGTGGACGAGGGCAGGAGGAATGGAGGAAGGGAAATGAGGGAGGGTAAAAGCTCATCACTAATCTACGGTCGACTACCCACGTCCGCGCTGGTGTAAACATTGATGCTTAATTGCGGAGTTCGCTAAAGAGAGCGTAAGCAGAGTTCGCTAAAGAGAGCGT